GTAGCTATCAGCAATCCAAAAATAAAATTAACAATTCCATTTAAAATGGCATAAAAAAAATAAAATACTTGGAAGTAAATTTAACAAAGGAAGTGCAGTATTTACCATGAAAGCTATAAAATATGTTGAAAGAAATTAGGCATTTAAATAAATGGAAAAAAATACATGTTCATGGATCAGAACACTTAACACTTTCAAGATGTCAATTCTCCCAAAATTGATCTACAGATTGAACACAATTCCTATCAAAGTCACAGCTTATTTCTTTGTAGAAATTAATTAACTGCTCTAACATTCATATATAAATCCAAGGGACCTAGGATAGTTAATACAATCTTTAAGACTGAAGTCAGAGGACTCATACTTCTCAATTTCAAAACTGTGTCATACTGGTATAGGATATACTAGTATATTCCATACTACAGACGAATGGAATAGAATTTGGAATTCAGAAGTCAGTCATTATAGTATGGTAAATAAATTTTCAACAAAGGTGCCAAGAGAATTAAATGGGAGAAGACAGTCTTTTCAATAAGATGTGCTGGAACAATTGAATATCCATATGCCAAAGAATGAATGGACCCTTACCTCACACCATACACAAAAATAAATCCAATTGCATCATTGAGCTGTAAAAGAGTTAACAGAGCAGGGGCTGAGGTTGTGGCTCAGTGGTAGAGTGCTTGCCTAGCACATATAAGGCACTGGGTTTGATCCTCAGCACCATATAAAAATAAATAAATTTTTTTTCTTTTTATATTTTTAATTTTTTATTGTGGGTTGTTCAAAACATTACAAATTTCTTGACATATCATATTCCACACTTTGATTCAAGTGGGTTATGAACTCCCACCTTCACCCCATACACAGATTGCAGAATCACATCAGTTACACATCCATTGATTTACATATTGCCATACTAGTGTCTGTTGTGCTCCGCTGCCTTTCCCATCCTCCACCCTCCCCCCTCCCCACCTCTCCCCTCCCCTCCCCTCCTCTCTTTCTACCCCCTCCACTGTATAACCCTGAGGGTCTCCTTCCATTACCATGCAATTTCCCTTCTCTCTCCCTTTCCCTCCCACCTCTCATCCCTGTTAAATGTTAATCTTCTTCTCCTGCTCTTCGTCCCTACTCTGATCTTAGTTACTCTCCTTATATCCAAGAAGACATTTGGCATTTGTTTTTTAGGGATTGGCTAGCTTCACTTAGCATAATCTGCTCTAATGCCATCCATTTCCCTGTAAATTCTATGATTTTGTCATTTTTTAATGCAGAGTAATACTCCATTGTGTATAAATGCCACATTTTTTTTATCCATTCGTCTATTGAAGGGCATCTAGGTTGGTTCCACAGTCTTGCTATTGTGAACTGTGCTGCTATGAACATCGATGTAGCAGTGTCCCTGTAGCATGCTCTTTTTAGGTCTTTAGGGAATAGACCAAGAAGGGGAATAGCTGGGTCAAATGGTGGCTCCATTCCCAGCTTTCCAAGAAATCTCCATACTGCTTTCCAAATTGGCTGCACCAATTTGCAGTCCCACCAGCAATGAACAAGTGTACCCTTTTCCCCACATCCTCGCCAGCACTTGTTGTTGTTTGACTTCATAATGGCTGCCAATCTTACTGGAGTGAGATGGTATCTTAGGGTGGTTTTGATTTGCATTTCTCTGACAGCTAGAGATGGTGAGCATTTTTTCATGTACTTGTTGATTGACTGTATGTCCTCCTCTGAGAAGTGTCTGTTCAGGTCCTTGGCCCATTTGTTGATTGGGTTGTTTACAGGGAGATAGAGGTTATAAAAAACAAACAAACAGAAATCCTAGAAATGCAGGAAGCAATAAACCAACTTAAAAACTCAATGGAGAATACTACCAGCAGAGTAGAACACTTAGAAGATAGAACATCAGACAATGAAGACAAAGTATTTCAACTGGAAAAGAACATAGACAGCTCAGCAAGACTGTTAAGAAACCATGAGCAGAACATCCAAGAAATATGGGATAACATTAAGAGACCAAACTTAAGAGTCATTGGGATACAGGAAGGTACAGAGCTCCAAACCAAAGGAATGTGCCTAACTGTGCAAACATTATAGTTTATGTTGAACACCTGCTTTCCTTTTGGAAGTACCAGACAGAGGCTATTTTATATGACCAGCCTCCAATAAAGACCCTGGGTACATTCTTTAATGAGCTTCTTTGGCTGGGAACATTTCACACATGCTGTCAAAATCTGATGCAGAGGGAATTAAGTGCATCCTGTATGACTCCACTGGGAGAATATTCTGGAAGCTGTGCCTGTTCTCCCTGGAATTTACCCAGTGTACCTTCTTTCTTTGCTGACTTTGCTTTGCACTCTTTTGCTGTAATAAATCATACTTATGAGTATATGCTGATTTCTGAGTTCTCCTAGTAAATCACCAAACCTGGGGGTGGTCTTGGGGAGTCCCCTATCTCAATATAATCACAGACCTAAATGTAAGAGCTAAAATAATAAAACTATCAGAACAAAAAAGTAGAACTAAATTTTTGCAACCTTGGATTAGTTAAAACCTTCTCAGATATGACACCAAAACCAAAGAAACAAAAGAAAAAAAAATAGATAAATTGAACTTTGTCAATATTAAAAAGAACATCATTAAGAGAGGCAATCCTCAAAGTGGGAGCAAATACTTACAAATCACATATGATATAAGGGAACTGTATCCAGAATACATAAAAAATATTTGTAAACCAACAATAAAAGAAATAACCCAATTAAAAATGGGCAAAGGATTTGAACAGCCATTCTTCCAAAGCAGATAATCAAACAGCCAATAGGTTCATGAAAAAGTGCTCTGTATTACTAGCCACCAGGGAAATGCAAGTCAAAACCACAATGAGATACTGCTTCATACACTAAGATGGCTATAATAAAAAAGACAGTTATAAGGGTTGGTGAGGATGTGATGAAGTTAGAACCCTAAACATTGCTAATGGGAGTGTAAAATAGTACAGCCCCTTTAGAAAAGTTTGCCAGTTCCTCAGAATGCCAAACATATTTACCATATGATCCAGCACTTATATTCCTAAATATACATTCAAGAGAAATGAAAATATGTCTGCATTAACTTGTACATGAAGATTCAGAACAGCAATATTCATTTGTGTTTATTTATTTATGTTTGCAGTGTTGGAGATTGTTATGGTTTAAATGTGGTGTCTCCCAAAAACTCATGTGTAAGGCAATGAAAGGTTTGGAGGATAGATGATTGGGTTATAGCCTTATCCTAGTGGGTGTATTAATCCCTAATGGGATTAACTGAGTGGTAACTGGAGACAGGTGGGGTGTGGTGGGAGGAAGTGGCTCATTGGGGGCGTGGCTGGCGAGTGGAGTCTCTGGCTAGTGGAGTCTCTCTCATGATTTGAGCTGCTTCCCTCTGTCACACTCTCCCACCTGATGTTCAGCCTCACCTTTAGCCCAGAGGAATGGAGCCAGCCTTCTGTGGACTAAGACCTCTGAAACCGTGAGCCCTCAAATAACTTTTTTCTCCCCTACAATTATTTTGGTCAGATCCTTTAGTCACAGCAGCAAAAAAGCTGACTAAAAGAGGGATCAAACCCAGGGCCTCTCCTATGCCAGGCAAGTTCTCTACCAATGAGCCACATCCCTAGTATAGCCCTATTCATAATATCCAAAAAGTGGAAACAATTCAGATGTCTATCAACTGATGAATGAATAAACAAATTGTGGTATATCAGTACTATAGGATATTATTTTGTAATAAAAAGGAATGAATTGTTGATAGGTACTACAACATGAAGAGTTTTGAAAAAAATGATACCAAATAAAGGATGAAATACACTGGCAAAAGTGGTTGACAGTTGAGATTCAGAAATATAGAATAAAAGATAACAGATATTTCCTGAGAAAAGAGCTTCTCATATTTTAATTGTCTAAATCACCAACTATTGCTATGTAAAAAAGAAATGTGCCCTGAAACATTTCTATTGACAAGTGACTATCACACAAATCTGTCAAGTAGATGAACTACCATTTAATTAGTTTTCATTGTATTATCTCTACCACCAAATCCTAGGCTGAATATAGTGGGGTCGAACCAGAAGGATATGTATCTGATACAGTAAAATTCAGACTGTCAATAGTTTGAGTTTTTAAATAAAATTATCTTCTATGTCTCTATCCTCTATTAATATGGATATGACAGAGTTGGCTAATTCATTACATTCATTATAGGGTATTTGGTTGAGGTAAACTGAAATATTGTTTCCAAAAATTTTCCACTTTTTGTTTGGCTGTCATCTGGTCTAAATATCTTTAGTCTGTGAGATCTGAAATCACAGCCCTTTAGGAAGCACTGATTTAAATAGAAGAAATTGAATTAAAGATCAGTCTTCCTAAACTATAAGTTTCATGAAGGCAAGGACCACATCCATTTTGTTTACTATCAAATATCTAGTGGTTGACACAAAATTTGCACTCAAATAACATTTACTAAATGAATTAATGCTTAGAAGAACACAAAACTAGCCAGGTGGTTTTGAGATTGAAAAGTGCATCAGAGTCACCTACAGAGCTTATTAAAATGCAGAGTGCTAGGCCTCACCTCCAGCACTTTCAGTCTTTCTGGTTCATTAAGTGTGGGATGGAGACAAAGAATTGACATTTTAAGTGAGTTTCTAGGTGATGCTGATGCTGCCTAGTATGCTGCCTGGTGCATAGTAAGCATGTAATAGGTTACATTAGTTGAAAGAATAAATTAATAAATATTTAACAAATACTTTAAAATTTGCATTTGTTTTCAGAAGTGGAAAAGAAGTTGAAAATGAACTTTCTTTCCGGCCTTATTGGGAAAGAATCAGAACCCCTGCTAATATGAAGTTGCTTTATACTTATTTTAGTTCTTGAGCATTTTTTCTTTTTCATACAATGTATATGTCATGATTTATATAACAGATATTCAAAGCATTTGTGAATGGAATATAATATAACAGCAGTTACCAGAAAAGACGGTGACATCATATCTATACCCGAGAGATGACCACCATTGGGCTACGGAAAAAAAAAAAATTAAGAAAATAAAATTTTTAAAGGAATGAGGTAAGGCAACCAGTACTTGCAGTTTTAGAAGTTTTTAGTAGAGTAAAAGTATGAGTCATTCAAGTAACTAGCCAGCCATATTATCATTAAAAAGCTGATGAAATACGTTTATTCTAGATGTCATAGTAAAGAGTGAAATAAATAAAACTACCTTAAAAATGTTTTTGCCCAGAAGAGGGCATTAGTGAGCGCAGAGGAAAGGACTTAGAACAATACTAATAGGCAGGTGAAGATGGAAATCATTATTTAGAAATAAGAAAGTAATGAAAATTTAGGGCTCTCAGTCCTCCAAAATTTTAGTTCCAATGATTTTTGACTCAATTAAAGTCCTATAGATAGTGGATATGCAGGTTTAAAAAAACTAAATGAAGTTGCTGAGTTGACCAAGTCTTAATATCATATTAATCTAGCTGGGAACATGGACTTCAAGTTCTAAATATAAGATTAACTTGTAAGTAATATTATGTGACTATAAACAACTATACAAATTTTAGCCAATCACTCAAACAAAATAAGGATCATTAACCACCAACATCAGTCTAGCTATTCAGTTATTGAATATTATTCTTTCCCCTTTCAAATAGGAAAATGCTCAGATTACCCATATTATCTGGGAAAAATTATGTAATTTTAAACACAAAGCTCTTTCATATTCCATTCTTGCCCTGGCATAAATATGAATGTCTGAGGGCATTTGATAAGTCTACTCAAATTAAGTTTATTTGAAATTAAACTTCAGGCATTGCTTCATTCTCCTCTTAAATGGTTTCCAATTACCTTTTTAAAAGAAAACAAACAAAATCTCCATTTCACCTCTCCTCTTCTGGGTGTGTTTTAATGCAGTAAGTTATCATAATTCTACTTTGAAAGCAGGAATAGTAAGTTTTAAGCTTTTCATAACAAGTGCTTCTAGAAGGGACCAAATCAGTACCATTTCAACTTCTAGATCTTGAAATCAAATGATTTCCCAAAGTTTTTAAAAATAAGCTATGGAAGTCCATGTTAATTATTTCTTTGTAGAATATAATAGCTCATCTATTATCACCTGCTAGGAAAAGTGAGAGGCTACAATATGGTGTATTGTGACTCCCACCAATTCCCAGATGGATTTAGATGATTTTCCTCTGTATATCTAGAGTACCCTTCATATACCTCTGTTGTGGCAGTGGTAAAGGTCTAGTTTGGGGATAAAAACCTGAAAATTATTTATATATTTATTCATTTTTTGTGGTGCTGGGCATTGAACACAGGGCCTTGCACGTGCTAGGCCTAAAGATAATTTTTTTTAAAATAAAGCCTTTACTTAATCTGATGTTCTAATATCTATTCTTAGAAGTAAGACATCCAAGTCAAGCTTTATAAAGAAAATTAATTCCAAATCAATCCTAATAAGAGGAACTTGGAATTTCAATTTCTTGCTTTTCAATGCAACTTATTTTCCTCCTAAAGTTAGAGAAGTAGTTTGGTTCAGAAAAAGGAAAAAAACTATTTATAAATTATTGTTATAAAGGAGGTTCAAACAACCAACTCCATGGCTTGTTATTATTTGTAAAAAGGCCATGAGCTCATGCATGTTATACAGAACTAAAGACAAGTTAAAGTATGTTAAAGGATCCCTAGTTGTTTCACCTGACTCTCAGTTGAGATAGACAGTCTACGAAATTCCACCTGAAAAATAAATGTCTCAAATTATACTTAGGATATAAAACATCATAAATGATTCCAACAAAGTCTGATTCCAAAAGATTGTTCTTGACAACATCCCACCTAATCTCCCAGGTAGTATCTCACCTGTTTTATCTCACTTTTTAACTGCATGATCCCAGTTCGTTCTGTTTTGGTTGCTCCAACAGCACCAATCTCATGGATAGAAATAGCAGGACTGACATTTGAATCAGTGGGACGAACTATATACAATAAGGAATTAGAAATAAAGAATGATCAGGTTCATTTTCTCCTCTCCCATGTTAAAAAGGCTTAGATGTATGTCCTTCTTTTATTTTTAACTTAATTTTTTAAAAACTCAATGAGTATAACCTTGCTACTTAAATTATGGTCCATGGACCAGCAGCATCAGTATTATTTAGGAGCTTGGTAGAAGACTCTCTGGTCCCACTTCAGACCCACTGAATCAGAATCCACATTAAAGTAAGATCCCCATCCTGACATACACTGCTTTCTTTCTTTTGCCACTATAAGTTCTGGCCATCCATCCATCTGATTTTATATATATTTGTTATCCTAAGCTTAAGAGCTGAACATGCGAGGTAACCCATTTCATTAGCTCTGCTTCTTTACATATGCAACACCAAATAATGTTGCTGAAACCAAAAGTGCAGGCTGGGTTTAGTGCTTGCTGTAGGCACTCACTAAAATACCACATCAAAACCTATTTCATATACAATTAAAATATATTAATCACAAACTTAAAAAGTGCAGGAAGAAGACTAGTTTTTGATGGACTCCTAGACATATTAGAATTTAAGGTTGAAAAGGACACACTTAGATATACAGTAGCATCTATCCACATACATACACACTCCAAACACTGTAAGTGCTACTGAATTTATTGGCAATTAGAATACAAAAAGTTTCAGATAATTTGGATTGTTAGTTGTCCTAGAGACTTAGGATAATGTAAGGGAATGGTCAAAGTAGTTAAAATGAAATATGATAGTAATGAATCCACTTAGTCAATATATCATTTAAGGGAAAAATTGAGACACAGTGTTTTTCAAATATTATTGCAAATGATAGCTTTGCTTTTAATTGTTTTATAAGTGGAGTTCTATTTATTTGGGGCAAAATGGGAGAACTAGAAATTCATATTCAGCAAAATGAAAATGAACCTCTATCTCTCACCATGCACAAAACTCAACTCAAAGTAGATCAAGAACCTAGGAATTAGTCCAGAGACCCTGTGCCTAATAGAGGAAAAAGTAGGCCCAAATCTTCATTATGTTAGATTAGGCCCAACTTCCTTAACAAGACTCCTAAAATGCAAGAAATAAAATCAAGAATTAATAAAAGGGATGGATTCAAACTAAAAAGCTTCTTCTCAGCAAAATAAATGATCAATGAGGTGAACAGAGAGCCTGCATTTTGGGAGCAAATTTTGCCACACACACGTCAGATAGAGCCCTAATCTCCAGGAAATAAAAAGAACTCCAAAAACTTAACACCAGAAAACCAAACAACCCAATCAATAAATGGGCTAAAGTGCTGAACAGACACTTCTCAGAAGAAGGTATACATTCGATCAACAAATATATGAAAAAATGTTCAACATCTCTAGTAATTAGAGAAATGCAAATCAAAACTACTCTAAGATTTCATCTCACTACAGTCAGAATGGCAGTTATCAAATGAAAAACATTTTAATACTAATGAGACATTTAAACTAACCACTCTGAGATGGAAATGCAGTTATTTAATCTTACCACTTCGTTCCACACCAAACTCCTTGCCACTGAGAATGTGATGTAGGAGGTTCTTCATGGCTGAAGGACTGAGATTCATTAGGCCCTCTGTGGCTTCTTCAGCTAGCAGAATCATAGGACAGAGAAAAAAGGAATTCTAATTTGTCTATAATACTCTCCCTATTTTAATCCATTTCCCTCCTTTCCTTTTCCCTCCTTCTCTCACCCTTCCTTCCTTCCTCCCCAACTCCTTTCTCTTTTTCTTTGGTGCTGGGGATTGGAAACAGGACCTTGCACATGCTCAACAGCCCAGTACCACTGAGCTATATACCTTCAACTCCTCTATTTCCTTTATTGCTTAGAATTTCTTCTTTCTTTTCCCTTCTTCTTCTTTTTTTTTTTTTTTTTGGTACTGAGGATTGAGCCCAGGGGCACTTTACCACTGAGCCATATCCCCAAGCCATTTTTATATTTTATTTAGAGACAGGGTGTCACTGAGTACCTTAGTTCCTTACTAAGTTGCTGAGGCTGGCTTTGAACTCATGTCCTCCTACCTCAGCCTCCCTAGCTGCTGGGATTACAGGCATGTGCCACTGTGCTAGGCCTCTTGCTTAGAATTTCTGAGTCACTTGTTTGGAAGGTGAGAATTACAGAATATATTTCTAGAACCATACACTTAACTATTCATACTGCAATAGACTCTTAATTATTTAGGGACTGACAATACAGTTTATGGATTAGCCAGGCCATAAATTTTGCTGTCACCCACTTCCATACCATTAGGGTACTCGGTAGAATCTTTATTTGAAAGTGAGAAGAATGAAAGAAAAATTGAACTGGAGGACATTCAGAGAAAGTCAAGGAATGCATATATATATATATATATATATATATATATATATATATATATATATATATATACAAATAAAATACTGAAAACTTCTCAACCTAGAAATAGACAGTTAAAAGAGAATAGATATGAAATCCATGAAGTTATAAAAGAATACTGAGAGGGTAACTTGAAGTTGTTCATCAACATCAGAACTAGTTAAAGAGTTTACTACATGAAGGTCATTATTTTAAACAATGTTAGTGAAAACAGGTATGGCATGTTGTTTTACCTTGAGAGGCTGATCATTTGGGAGAGATGGAACATGCAAACAAGATAAACAACAATAAAACACTGTATATATTACATGCCAAAAGAGAGGCATAGATAAGAAGTGCTTTGGAAATCAGAGGAGATATATTGATCTCCAAGGAAGGGGATTTATAAAAATAGTGGGAAGCACTATTAAAATAGTAGGTAAAAGGCAGACTATTGAGGGTCTTATATATCAAACCTGGAGATCATGACTTAGTTCTACAAAGAACTAAAGAGCCATGGTCTTGATGAATCCACAGGGGAATAAATCCATTACAGGTGATCAAGGAAAAGCAAAGAATGTTGGGGAGGTTATCCCTTGCTGAGGTTTACTATGGAACAGCTACAACCTCTCATAAAACATCCCTTGATACCACAGCTGGAGAATACTATATAATACATTTATTTTTAATAATGAAATCTGAACTGGATATCATTTAAAGTGAGACATACTTGAACTCAAATTATACTACTTACTAGCTATATTACTTTGAACAAGTTACTTAACCTCTTTGAATTTCCTTTTCCTTATTGGCAAAAGTGGGATTACATTCCTTACAGAATTGTTATAAGGATTAAATATCAAAAGGTGTGTAGATATAAAGCAAAAAGTACAATGACTAGCATATGATAGGTATAAAATAGTTATTAGTTCTCTTCTTTTGAAGGGCTATTTAAATGTAAATTATTTCATATGTTTGATTTAGGCTTCCTTAAAACCAATCAATTTAGATATCCATTAACACCTCAATTAAAAGTATTTTGGGCAAATTTAACCAAAACAATGAGCTTCGGTTGTGAGTTTTTTCAATTGTGATTTTATTTTTCTGCGCCATCCCTGTCTCTATTATTTTGCGATTCGTGTTGAAATCAAACAAATATCAATGGAAAACAGAGTCATGGCGGGGAGTTCTGCCTCCACTTTATACAATTATCTATAGCTTCCACAGGCCCCAAATACTTTTCCAACTAAAACTTATCTTGACAAATACAACTATTATTAATTTCAAAGAGAGTATTTTTAGACAAATATTAATAAAAATATTGTCTTCCTTTATCAATCATGATGTTGACTAGAGAGATAGGATACTGATCCTATATCTACTGATATAGTGACTTAACTTTGGTGTCCTGAAGCTCCACTGCCTGAATCAGAACCAAACCCAGTATGTCACACTCCAGTATTCTCCAACACACTCTGAGGAGTTGGGAGGAATGAAGTTAGCAGATAGGAAGAATTTCGAGTGCAGAGCCCCTAAGATGTGGCATTTTGAAGTTACAGAATCAATATACAAAAGTGTTATCAAATCAGTCCTTTCACTTGCATAGTAGTGACTAAGACATGAGAACAAGATTGCCTTACACAGCTTCTGAGATATAGGTAAAAATATTTTAGCTTTCTTTCCCTCCTGATGCCAAACTCCATTGATCTACATGAAAAGTGAATTCTGCCTAAAAATAGTTACTGAATTGAGTACCTGAGCATCGAAGGGAGTGGGCCAGTTCTGTTGCCATAACTTGTATGATCAGACCAATTCGAAGTCGAAACATTTCTGCAAAGAGGCCAGGCTGGGTTCGCATATACATGGCTAGATATACCATTATTTCCTGTGCACAGATGGATATAGACAAAAAAAATATGCATGAGGCCTCACAATGCCTATTTTGTTGTCTTTACAAATTGCTATCCTAACTGAAAACTAATTTTTAAATATTAATCAGCATATTAGGCATTACAATTCTGCTTACCTGTGTAAGGATTGAAATACTCATGTCCCCTTCACTGGCTTCATCTATCAGCTGAGTAAGTGCCTCATAGGGCAGAGGTCTGAAGAAGAAAAAAGTAAAAAAAAAAATCTACACCCACTTAAACATAAATAAATTTTAAAAAACCTCTTACTAAGTCCAGGTTATTGCCTCAATACCTCATTATTACCAGTAGCATTTTGGTTCTTTTCATTTCCAGAGTTCATTCATTGCCTCCCTAAACCACTCTGGCCTATATCAACTCAGAGGAGCTTGCTTTTTCCTCTATACACCTAGATTTTCCTTCTCCTAAACATTTTTATTTAAAAGTTATCCATGATATCCTTCCAGAACTAGTCTTTCATGGTTAGTCAATAACATTAGAAAGGTTAACTATTATGGCTATAAAGAAATACACTAAGTTGTGTTTTTTGGAAACCATTTGTGTTTGCAGTCACATATTCATTTTCAAGTTTCATTAGTTCACATATATATACAGACACACACTAAATTAAATATAAATATTATGTATTTCTTTATAGCCATAATGGTTACCTTTCTAATGTTAATAGCTATTTAACACACACCGGTGACTCTCTTATTGACACATATGGGAATATGACATCTTTTTTGGATTATTTACAGTGTAACAAAACTGATCTACTTTGTCATAAAAGGTGGTTTTCCAGGAGCAAAGTGTTATGGGCTGAATTGTATTGCTCCCAAATTCATAAGTTGAAATCCAACACTTGTACTGGAGAGTGTAACCTTATTTGCTCATATGCTCTTTAGAGGTGGCTATGTTAAAGTAATGTCACTGGAGTTCACCCTAATCCAATATGACTAGTATCTTTATAAAAAAGGGAAATTTAGACATGAAAATGTGTGGAGGGAAGAAATGTGAAGAGACATAAGAAATAAGATGGCTACCCACAAGAAAAGATTCCTGGAAAAAAGTCCTTCACAGCCTTCAGAATGAACCAACCCCACTGATACAGTGATGTGAACTTCTAGCCTCCAGAAATGTGAGAGAATACATTTCTTTTCTGTTGATTAAACCACCCTATCTGTGGTATTGTACTATGACTTCCTAAGCACATTAACACTCAAGGATAGGGATATTTTCCTAAAGCATAACTGGGATTTTACACATGGAACCTGATGCATGGTCCTAGGACATGTCTCCCCAAGTCTTCATCAGGAGTTTAAACTGGATATTACAGGCAACAGAAACCATGGGCATGGAATAGGAAGAAGGTAGAACATAGACATCAGCAAAGGCATCCCTGATCACTTATTTCTCATTTATTCCTGATTCAACTCTATATCTAGAACATATTTTGTTTACAAAATGAACTTTTCACTATACTGGCTACTGAAGTAGAACTGGCAGTTAGGATAAACATCCTGTTTTAAATTACTCCCTCATAGAAAAATGTATTTTGCAGATCAGTTATGAATGAAGTTAGAAACCTTCTAAAAATATTTCTTGGAAATACAACCTGCTTGCAGATTTATACATTGGCACTGGCAGGACATGAAATTAGACAGATTTAGTGCAGATGAGTTTTACTGGTATGGCTTGTGACAAAGGGAAAACTTGTGTAAGAAATAAAATGTTCCATTCTAGCCTTTCACCCTTCTTCCCACCCTCTCCAGTCCTAGCCTATCTGAGGGTACTGCTGCCAATTGGAGGTTGTGGCAGAACTGAGGCAGGAGCAGTTTGATGATACTGTTCTTCCAAGGTTGCCACCTCACTCTGCTCTAAAAGTACCCATTTCCCCACTTTGACCTTGACTTCTACCACTTTTATCACTTATTAAGCAGCATAGAGTTGCATCATCAGCCCTGTACTCTAGCCAGACACCTTCTTCTACTTCCTCTCTCAGAGGATGGTTAGTTGACTATGGGTGCCAATTTACAGTGACCTGCATGTTTTGTTGTGCTTTTTTTGAAGAGAGGTTTAGGAAATACTAATAAGAAAAGAAAAGTTTAAACACTACTCCGTGTTAGTTGTTCTCTTTAATTTACCCATGCCCTGTTATTCCCAGTATTTTCCTGCTGAATGTCTCGGACAGAAGTGTGTATGGAGGATGTTGTCATCAATGGACAGATTAAGGCAATAGAATTGTATAAGTTCACACAGTTCCTTAAAGGCTCAGAGAAACCTTATCAAACCTAACCAAATGCCATACTCACGCAGAGATGGTCTTTTCTCGAGGTTCTGGAGGGAGTCCCACTGTCAAATGTTTCTGGTGGGATAGAAGGTCTGTGCAGGCCTAAGAAGAGACAGCATGACATTATCCTTTCCATAAAACCTCAGATTTCCACAAACTTTTCTCTTCTTAGCCTAGAAACCTTTGAGTTCCCCTAACCTAATAACACACCAAACTCTCTTCCTCAGGAAATACCATGAAGATCAGAAAAGAGGGATTTCTAGGAAGGAACTCCTACCTCCTTGGAGGTAGGTACTTTTAGTTTAGTTTAAATTCATTCTTAGGATGTAGAATTCTTATAGTTTATAGCACCTCAAAAGTCTATAGTTATTATGGTTCAGTAATATACATTTGTCACTAACAGAAATGTAACTGAATATCAGAAACTGTATATGTGAAAAAAAGCCATATATAATGATTAGAGAATGTGGTTGCCTTAAAAACAATTAAGGAAACCAATTTTTTTTTCCAGCAGTCGGAATGGAATCTGGGGCTTTATGTATGCTAGGCAAGCACTCTACCACTGAGCTACACCTCCATCCCTAAAACTAATTTTAAAAAAGCACACCCATTTGTTGGTAAATGGATGAAACTGGAGATTATCATGCTAACTGAAATAAGCCAGATCCAGAAAGTCAAAGGTCAAATGTTTTCTTTGATGTGCAGAAGCTAGTACAATAAAAGAAAAAGAAAGTGTAGGAGGGATTTCATCAAAATAAAGGAAAGATCAGTGGAGTTGATGAAGGGGATTGAGGGAGAGGGAGGAGGGATGGGATAAGGGGACAATAATGGAATGAATCTAACTTTCCTTCATACATATATAAATATGCCACAGTGAATCTTACCATTATATACATCCACAAGACAATAATTTAAAAAAAAACTGTAAGCAAATATCAGAAAGATCAGTAGAGGAAAACTGAACCCTATATTACATATATGTAACCCTATGTTACTTATAACTAAAAAGAACCAAGGGAAAAAAAGCATGCCCATTTAGACATGACATAAATTCAAGAGTTTATAGTACTTCATCAAGTGCTTCCACTTTCTTCCTTAATATCCCAGAGATGTATCTAATCAGGCCCCAATGACGAATTTCTCCAACTTTGCCATATAGTTCAGTAAGAAGCTCTCTGACTGTAGCACCCCCTTCTTCATATAATTCAGTGTCCCAGTCAGGTCCTCTGGAATTTTAAAGACAGAAGTATATTAATTAAAAGTAAAGTATCCAACAACAATCTTATCTTTCAGTGTTATAATGGATATACCTATTGTTTTAAATTCTTTTTTTGTAGTTGTATTTGGACAGCATGCCTTTATTTTATTTGTTATATGGTGCTAAGGATAGAATCCAGTGCCTCACACGTGCTAGGCAAGTGCTCTACCACTGAGCCACAACCTCCACCAGGATATACCTATTTTTGATAGGCCTCCCTTCATCAGGAAACTAATACTATTTACTAGAAACCCTTATAAAACTATGATAAATAGTCAACCTAAAAGGCAACTACCTAGCCAATAATTTCTTAGTTTCATTTATACTTGGACAAAATGCATTATTTTACCCTCTTTACAGGCCTCAACAGGGATGACACTAAAGACAGATTTAGTTTACCTACTGGAAGTTCAGAAAGTATGATTGTACTTCAGGAACTAATGAAGAAATAAGAAGGATGTGTGTTTATTTTTAAAGGATACATATACATTATTGGCACAAAATTACTATAACACAATCAACTATGAAGGGCCATAAAAGACATACAAAGTTCTCTGAAATTTGGAATTTAATATGTGATAAAGGCAGATTATTTATTACATGATGTTAAGACAATCAAGTAGCCATCTTGAAAAAGGTTGGATCTATACTTTACACTGTATATACCATAATTCAAAATGTATCAAAGATCTAAATGTAAAGAAACTAGAAAAATATGGGAGAATTTGTTTATAACTTTGGAGGGAAGAGGACTTTTAAACTATGGAACACATGTTTGAAGCCATAAAAACGTTAATACATTTGTACACATAAAACAACAAAAAAACCTTTGATCTCAAAAACCACTGTATGCAAAGTATAGGACAAATTACAAAAATGGGAAAATATTGGCACTTCGTAGGGCCAATTCTCTTTACATACATAAAGACCTCTGGTAAATAGATCAGAAAATAAGAAACAACAAAAGAAAACCTGACAAAACAAATACTGGCAGGAATTAAATATAGGAAAGGTTGCTCTACCTCACCCACAATAATAAAAATTAAAATTAACATTATACCAAGATAAGATTTTTAATATATCAAGTTGTCAAAAGTTTCCAAATTTGATAACACTGCATTGGTTAAAACAGGCACTTTCCATATGTTCCTAGTAGGTATAAAAATTGGGGTGATCCATCTGGAGGGCTTTCTGGAAATATATATTAATATCAAAAATACTGGAAAACAGCCTTGTGGTGCCTACAATGGTTAAACATAGTTACCATGACTCAGCATTTCTACTCTTATCCAAGAGAAATGAAAGCATATGTCCACATTAACTTGTATGTGAATGTTTATACTAGCATTATTCAATTTGCCAAAAAAGTGGAAATAATTCAAATGTCCATGAACTGATAAATAGATAAATAAAATGTGGCAGAGTCCTACAGGTAATAATATTTGCAAATAAATGAAGAATTGATACATGCTACAACAGAAGTGAACCTTGAAAATACTTTGCTAAATGAAAGATAATTGTTACAAAGGACCACATATTGTATGACTCCATTTATATAAAATGTCCAAAATAGGCAAATTTGTAGAAGCAAGAAATAGATTAATGGTTGGTTGCCAAGGGCTGGGAGATGGAGGGATTGGAAGTTAATGGATAAAAGGAATAGAAATTCTCTTTGGGATAATGAAAGAGCTCTAAAATGGATGGTGAAAGAGATATGTATGATACAGAGAGTATACAAAAAGCCATTATACACATAAAAATACCTATATTCTTTAACCTATCAGTCCAATTTCTGGTTTTCTGGAGGATAAATTCCTTCTACACATGTGAAATGATATATGATTAAAGGTTTTTCACTATAAACATTGTGATGGATAATACACAAATGTTCATCAATAGAAGACTGGTTTAATAAATTATAGTACAGTGAAATAATAGAATTCAATACAGCTACTAAGAAAATATAAAGTAGATCTAGCCAGGCGTGGTGGCCCACACCTGTAATCTCAGCAACTCAGGAGGCTGAGGTAGGAGGATCATAAGTTCGAAACCATCCTCAGCAGCATAGGAAGATCATCTCAAGATGAAAAATAAAAAAGGATTTGGGATGTAGCTTAGTTAGTAGAAAACTTGCCTAGTAGTGAGAGGACCTAGGTATAATATCTAGTACTGCAAATGAATGAATGGTTAAACAAATTAATTAACCAGTTAAAAAATAAAAGAAGTGGGGTCTGTATTCCCCCTACTTGAGCCCAGGCATGCTTTTGACTAAGGTAAAAGTGACACCATATGATTTCTGAGGCTGTCATAAAAAGCAACACGGCTTCTACCTGGTCTTCTCTGGGACACATACTCTTAGAACCCAGTATTCATGCTGTCAGAAAATAGAGACACACATGGGGAGGTTATTTGCTGTTATTCCACCTGTAGGTAATGAGATTCTAGCCAACAGCCAGCCAGTTAGTATCAATCCCCTGACATATGGATGAGCAATCTGTGTCATGATACAAAGTTTCAGTGAAAAAAGCATGGTATACAGCCGTGTATATACTATACTAAATTTGGGCAAAATAGGGATAAAATACAGATGTCTGCATTTACATAATAAGCATAAAATATCCCTGGAGGTTGCACACACACACAAATATACTGGTTGCCTGTGAAGGGGGGAACTGGGTATCTAGAGTTGGGGAAAGATCTTTTACCCATTCATTATATTTTCTTTTGTATTTAAAAAATTTCGATCATGAGAATGTATTGTCTATTTAATATATCAATTTTTTTAAAAAAAACATGAAATACTACAAGAGGTTAGCCAGGTGCAGTGGTGCACACCTATAATCCCAACAGCTCAGGAGGCTGAGGCAGGAGGATTTCGAGCTTAAAGCCAGCCTCAGCAACAGCCAAATGCTAAGCAACTCAGTGAGACCCTGTCTCTCAATAAAATACTAAATAGAGCTGGGGATGTGGCTCAGTGGTCACGTGCCTGAGTTAAATCCCCGGTACCAAAAGAAAAAAAAAAGAAGAAATAAATACTACAGGAGATCATCAATGGATACAAATGAAGTGAGTTAAAGTTTGAAAAAATAATAGCATATTTACAGTCTCAAGGTATAGCTCTACAAGATTTATTTTTTTATTTCAAAAGATAATAACTTTACAGTGAAGGAATCTTGAAGCTACTGTCTTAACCAACTGATCAAACCAAGTGATCAAAGTTAACACTACTAGCAATTGGACTAGTCAACATTATGTGCCTCCTGACATGACACTCAGAGAACTTGGCATCACTCAGGGGTATTCCTGAAAAAAAAAAAGGCATAACCTGAATTTACTTGTGATAAAGCATCACAGAAATCAAGACTGAGCAGGGCGTGGTGGTGCACACCTGTAATCCCAGCGGATTGGGAGGCTAAGATAGGAAGATCGTGAGTTCAAAGCCAGCCTCAGCAACTGCAAAGTGCTAAGCAACTCAGAGAAACCCTGTCTCTAAATAAAATACAAAATGGGGTATGGAAGTGGCTCAGTGGTTGAGTGCCCCTGAGTTCAATCCTCAGTACCAGAAACAAAACAAACAAAACAAAACAAAAAACTCAAGACTGAGGGGATTCTACAGGATAAATGATCTTTATTTTTCTAAAAATATCAATAACATGAAAAATGAGACTCAAACTATTTTAGATCAATGGAGATTCAAGATACACAAGAACTGAATGAAATACATGATTTTTAGATTTTCTTTTGCAGTAAATACATTAATGGTCTGACAGATCTTAATAGGATCTGCAGATAGATACTAGTATTGTTTCAAAGTTATTTTCTGATTTTGGTGAGTACAGTATGCTTATGTAAGAGAATTCCTAATTTTTAGGAAATACACACTGAATAATTTAGACATGATCCCCATCTACTCTATCACTCCCAAATGGTTCAAAAAATAATGTGTGTGTCTCTCTCTGTCTGTGTGTGTGTGTGTGTGTGTGTGTGAGAGAGAGAGAGAGAGAGAGAGAGAGAGAGAGAGAGAGAGAGAGAGAGAGAGAGACTGAGTATAGATGGTGGTTGTGGTGGTATAAGGGAGAAATAGAGACAATGAGAAAAGAGAGAGATATTAAAGCTCAGTGGAAACACTAGAGGAATCAGGATAAAGGATACTAGAAAAATTTTGTGTTATCTTTAAAACTTTTCTTTAAATCTGAAATTATCCAAATTTACTTTAAAAGTATGAAAAAGTGCTACAAGATCTCAGAATCAGGAAATATTATTATTAATCTCTGTTCTCTATTATTAGAGATCAGAGAATACTTTGTGGAGGTGACAGATGAACTAGACTTTGATGGATAGAGAGAATTGCAAGTATAAATAGAGATGTGGTATAGCAAAGGAGAATATTCTAGGCAGAGGAAAAAACATGAATCAAGGTATGAAGGTAGACATGCAGAGGCTGAGCTTTGGTGAGAGCATTCACATTGTGAGTGGAAGCAATAGTAGATAAATTAGGTTGAAAGGTCTTAGAAGGTGTAGATTTGGCCAGTGATTCCCTATGGAATTTGGTGATGTGGGGAGAGGCAGGGAAAAGGAGGACTTGAAGATGATACAATTTCTGGGTGATTTGAAAGAATGATGGTATCACAAACAGAGTAAAGAAAGACAAGCAGTATGTTCTGGTACAGTGAATCTGATTTTAGACACATTGAGCAGGAAGACATACATAAAAATAAATTCCAGGTAGGTTAAAGACCTAAAACATTAAAAAATTTATCAAAGGTATTTAAAGCATTTTTTAAATTCTGGAAGGGGAGAAGATCCCTGATGCATGCAAGAAATCTCGAAGCCAAAAGAGGAAAATATCAGGTTGGGGGTATCACTCAGTTGAAGAGTGTGTGCCTAGCATATGCAAGGTGCTGGGCTCAATCTCCAGTGCCACAAAGTAAAGAGAAAAATAAAAAGATCAAAAGGTTTGACTACATAAAAACTAAAGTTTTAATGTAGAGAAAGGCACATAAAGTTAAAAGGCAAATCCTTAGAAAAATACATGAAACATGTATAACAAAAGGGTAATCTAATATTCATAAGAAAAATAAAAAATAACTCACGGTTATAAACATACAATTCACAAAAGGAATATCTGTCAATAAACATAGGAAAATACATCTGTTATTCTTGTCTACACAGGGAAACTGGATAGAGTTCCAAGTGTATCACATAGCCACATAGCATGATCATACACAAACTAGTCAAGTTTTTGGGTGTGCATGTGTATATGTGTGTTGCTGGATGGAACCCAGTGCATTGTGCTATGCCCACAACCCCTATTGAAGTGATCTGATATTATATAGAATATTAGTTTCAAGGAGATTACAGGGTTCACTCAGATGTCATGGTCAAGTTAGGATGCAATGTAGGAGCAGAAGAGGTGGTCAACCATGGATCATATGAATTGGTGTGAGCATGAGCTTTTGTGTGCAACGTTTTGCCTGCCCATCTCAATTACCCCTCTGAATCTTCAAGTTCTATTCAAGCTACAGTTATTCTGTCCTTATCCTTTATCTCCTTTCACTCTCTCTATCTTTCCATTCCCCTGCATTTAGTATGTGCTGGACTAATAAGTACATGACACATACCTGAATAAAGTGCTATACCACAAAAGAAAAAAAAGAAAGGAACAAAGATACCAAAATAAGACCCAGGCTTTTAAGAAAAATAGTAACACACAATAAGCTTTACTGGGTGGCACTTTGACAGGTTGCATAAGAAGGGAAGTCTCTCAAAACATGAAATCATTCAGAAGACCTTGGCCCAGATTCTGTCACTCAGAAAAGGAGAAGGACAAGGGAACTGTCAGAGGGAATGGAGAAGCTGGGGTAAGGGTTAAATGTCTAGGTGATGTCCCTCTGCAGCACTGTGTGGGATGTCTAGGTTAGTGAATTCTGAAGGGGTGCAGTGGTTTAGAGTATTCATGGCTGAGGTTTAGTTATTATGAACAAGTCTGAGGTGAAGCATATACAAAAACTCAGGCCCCATATAGCTAAAAACTATTTGAATTATTTTAATTATTTTTATTCTAATTTTTGATATGTCTTGCTATGTTACCCAGATTGGCTTTGAACTCATACAATCAGGTGATCCTTCCACCTCAGCCACTGAGTAGCTGGGACAACAGGTCTGTGCCACCATGCCTGGCTTTTTTGGGTTATTTATTTATTTATTTTGGTACTAGGGATTGAACCCAGGAGTGATTTACCACTGAGCTACATGCCCAACCCTTTTATTTTTTATTTTGAGACCGGGTCTCCCTAAGTTGCTTAGAGCCTCACTAAGTTGCTGAGGCTGGCCTCAAACTTGCTATCCTCCTGCCTCAGTCTCCAGAGTTGCTAGAATTACAGGCATGTGCCACCACACCCAGAAGGTTATTTTTTTTAAACAACTGAGTATGTAAAATTTTTACTTTGGTATTCAATGGCTTTTCAGCTAACAGAAGACCTGTGTCTTTTTCATTTGCTCATTAAATAGGATAGTTTGATGAAAATAGCATGAACTTTGGAGTCAGAGAACAAGGTTTTTCATCTCATCTCTTCCCCTAACTGTGTGACCTTCAGAAAGTTGATCAACCTTTCTGAGTTGGTCCTCCCATCTGCAATAAATGTAGGTACCAATCATCTCATAGAAAAAGTATAAGGATTAAATGAAGAAGTTCATTTGTTTGACCAGCCTATACTGAGAACATATTATAAGGCAAGCACTAGGTTGTTTTCAGACTACAATAAAACAGTCAATGTCCTCGAAGAGCTTAGTGTAATGGAGGTGATACACACACACACACACACACACACACAATAACATGGCAATAAAGTATTAGTTGTCTGTACTGCATTACAAGGAATGCTTAAGGAGCAGGGATTAGGAAAGTGAAAGGTTTCAAGCTGACTCCTTGGACGATATGAGAAGAGCTGAGTATAAGTCAGACTGAAGAGGAAGGAGAGAGTCCTTGCAAAGAGAGGAACATGAGCTAAGACACAGAAATGAGACAACATAGTGTTGATGAAAAACTACGTGCACTTTGGTGTTGCTGGAATACCAATTACAGGACACAAAGTGGTGAAAGTGGAATCTGGAAGGAGGCAGGAACTTTATCACAGAGGTTCCTATGTGCCATATTAAGGCTCCTGAACTTTCCCCCTGCTTAAGTGAAGCAAAAAAAAAAAAAATTAAGGGAAGGGATTTAGTAAGATGAGCATATTAAAGAGATCATTGTGTAGAATTAGAAGACCAGGATTTGGCAAACCTCTAATGAAATAGTAGATCTGGGCAATCACCACTGATAGTTGCTAAAATCGTTAGGAAAAAAGCTAATGAGGAATTGTATAATGGCAACAATAGGCTAATTAGATCTTATTAATATTCAAATGACAAAAAGAGCAACTTCATAGGCGATGCTCTGTACTTAAGTAACATCAGAAGGCACATGATATCTAGTTGTTGCCCATTTTATTTTTTTATTTTTTTGCAGTGCTGGGGATCAAACCCAGGGTCTTGCACATGCTAGGCAAGTAAACTAACACCAAGCTACATGGACAGCCCCTTTTTCCAAATTTAGAAGGGGGCATAAATCCTGCCTCTTTATATTCTATTCACCATAACAAGAAAAGAGGAGGAAGAGCAGGTATTTTTGTGTAGAGGTAAGCAAGAAAGAGAAGATCAATTTGGACATATTGAGTTTAAGATACAAAGTACTAAGGGGGTACATGACACATAAGAATACATTTGAAAATATTAGTTTCTTTTTCCTATAAGCCTCTATATTCTTCTTTCTCTTGTGTTAAGAATATATCTGTAGGTTTTACCAAATAATGGAGGCTTAATAAGAACCATAATACTGGGGCTGGGGTTGTGGCTCAGCGGTAGAGCACTCGCCTAGCACGTGTGAGGTCCTGGGTTTGATCCTCACCACCACATAAAAATAAATAAATAAAATAAAGATGTTGTAACTAACTAAAATGAATAAATAAATAAATATTTTAAAAAGAACCACAATACTGATAATAATCCTTGGCAATTATTGATTACTGACGATGTGCCAGGCATTAGGAACTTTATAGATTTTTATAATAATTCTATGAGGTATGTATAATCCAAATTTTGTAAATGAGGAAAATTGAGGCTTTAAGTTGTGGAATGAGTAGGTTGCAAACCTGTATTCAAAACCAGATCAGTGAAACTCCAAAGCTGTGTTCATTTCCTATATGCTATGATCTGGATCTGGAATATTGTCCCAAAGGCCCATGTGTTAAAGGTTTAGTCCCAGCCCATGGTACTATTGGGAGATGGTGGAAACTTTAAGGGGTGAGACCTTGTGGGAGGTCTTAGATCACTGGGGGCATGCCCTTGAAGGTGATTATGTGATCCTGGTCTCTTTTCTCTCTCCCTCTCTTTCTCTCTCTCTCTTTTCTACATCCTGTCCATGAGGTGAATGGTTTTGCCACATGCAGCTGCCATGGTATGCTGACTCACCACAGAACCAAAAGAAATAAATCATGAACTGAAGCCTCCAAAACCATAAGCTAAAAGAACCTTTTCTTTTAATAAGTGGATTATCTAAGATATTTGTTATAGAATAAAAAGACTATGTTATACTTCCTCTCTATATGAACATTAAAATATGCTGATAATATCCATCACTTACTTCATAGTATACAACATGTAGAGAATATCAGCTTGTTCCTGTAAGCTTGTGGTCTCCTTTAATTGTGAAACCAGTGCTTCAAAGTCTACCTCCCCAGATTGGTCTCTAGGAAGATGCATTTCTACACGAACAGAGGGAACCTTTAGTTTGAGAAATGTTGAAAAGAAATTAAGTCCACAAGTGCTCCACTTAATATGCCCTAGAATGAGTCATCTTTCTATCTTTAAAACTTTTACATAAGAATTCTCTAAATGTTGATGAAAAGCAAAGCAAAAACAGTGAAACCATCAAGACATATGATACAGCAAAGTAGTTTTCTTGAAATGTACTTAGGAAAACTTGTCCACTTTAAGACGGAACTGAAAAGGACATGTATCTTCATCAGGATAGTATTTTGCCTACTATCAGCTACTAACAGGAACCATAATGGCTAGTTCTATAATTTTCTATAAAGATGGCTTTTTTGCACACACAAATAGAAATAATTCAAGCGCACATTTACCTGGTCATCTTGTGGGGACTGAGGCGAGTCAAGTAATTTGAATGAAGGCCGAGAAGGCTGAAATAACTTTGTAGGAAGATACATGTGAACATCTGCAAGAGGTTGACATTTATTAGGAAGGTTAGCTAACTAAGAGACCAATAAAAATGCACAGCTGACCTCAGGAATTAGGTTATATATCAGTCAATTCTTTATAAAACAAGAATGGCAATTTTTTTATTCCTTGTTAATACCAAAAAAGAGAAATGTGAATATTAGATAATTTAAAGACTGTCCAATTAATCAATAAACATATTTTAATTTGATTTTCTAGAATTATACCATCAGGTGGTCATGTAAGATATTAAATTTACTAAGTGCAATGAATTCCATGATGGTGCTATCACTGAAACTTTGGCAGAATGCCACAAGTAACACAAAGGGTTCAGTTACATTTTATATTTTCTGGACATTCCTAAGAAAATACTTGATGGCTAGTGGTTAGATTTCCCTGAGAATAGGTGATTGGATGAACTTGTCTAGGGAATCAAAACAATCTAGTGGCTGACCAACTTTGAGATATTCTTAAGATTTCTTACTTACAGTACATTGTTGAAATACTTACCCATAATCACTAAGAAGAGACTCTCTTGTCATTTTCACCATTTTACATATACAAAGAGTTACAGAGCTCAAGCAAGTAAGTAGCAGAGCTAGGAATTAAGCTCAAGTTTTCCTGATTCACAATCAAGAAATATGACAATAAACTTCATCTTACATAAGCCCGTTCTCCAGTGAGTATACCCAAAGGGCATGCTAAGCTTTTCTCCTTTATACATGTTAAATGAATCCCTAGAGTTCATATTTAATATCTTTGGTTAGTAATGGTCAATAAAGTTTTAGACAGCAAGAGCATGCATCTCAAGCATCCTCATTATTTAAATAATGTTAACATTTGGGTTTTCTAGGTGTGGCCAAGGAGCCCTTCTCTCCCTTCATTTGTGGCTACTACACAGAAACAATGAATACTTTTAGGAACCATGGCAACTCCTAATAATGTGTAGTAGAAGACATCCCCCACTGTAAATATTACTGAAAGAGGAAAGGGGTCATGGGGAAGAGTATTCAGTGAAGGATGAGTATCATATTTGACAATTACAGATCTACATGGCTAGAATGACCAACTATAAAAATTACAACTGGCCTAATGGAACCAATTGTAACTTACTTAAGACTATCTCCCTTTCCATTGCATAGCTGACCTGTAATCATCTTGCAATGCTTTATCTATAAACAAAACTACTTCCAAAGGAGGATTTTTTCTAAACTTTTCCTTCTTACCATCATTTTACTGTGATGATAGAACTGAATATGCTCCACGCCTATTGTTCTGACTCTCCTACCATGTCCCTGGTTAAACCAGACTCTATAGCATTATGGATAGCAAAACTGTATTTGGTTTATTGTTTTACAAATATTTGAGTGTCTGATATGTTCCAGGTGCTGTCCAAGATGCTGGGGATAAAGCAGTGAACAAAACAAAGTTCCTGCTTATGTGTAATCAATATCCCGCCCCCATCCTGGGCTTTATGTCATCCTGTGCCTGACTCTGGTGAGTCATGGCATTACTCACTCTGTACATGGAGTTCCTTGGCCTTGGTCACCAAGGACATTAAGTCGCAGGTTGTTTGCACAGCAGCTCGGAACCGATCTAGCCCTCCCTTCTGTGAGGTAGGGGCTAGTTTAGGATGGGGAGCAGTGTGCACCAAAAGGTGATCTAAATAACGAGCAACTTCATCACCACAGAGAGCTGCAGGATTAGTGGGAGGAGGGAGAGAGAAAAGAATGAACAGTTTAGTTACTTCAAAGTCTACCCCAGCAATCAGAATGATGGGCTCCCGTACTCATAACGCAGCACCGGAAGTAGGCTGTTTTTTTTTTTTGTTGTTGTTGTTGTTTTTTTTAATCATGGAGGGGCTAAAAAGCTTGTGAGCATTATATAACCTCATAGATTTAAGATTTAGAGAATATGGCCATCCACCAGGACCCACCTGTTCTTCAGGTTTCCTGGGACGATGTTAAGGTACCCTGTAGCAGTATGAGCTTATTCTAAGATAGGTGGAGCAAATGTTTCATAATTTGTGTAGGTAGGTGTGAGTGATGGAATGGTGGCAGAGGTAGTGAAGGGGGAGCAGAGCAAGGCCTTTCAAGTCCCACTAGTAGGAGACTTTTGTGAGAAAGGGTCAGGGAATGGCAAAAATCTTCCAAAAAACATTAAGCCTGGTGATAAACATAATCTATGAACAAAAACTACAATTACTACTAATAAAAAAAAATCTCCATGTGGCATTTATGAAGAAAGCACTATGAGACTCTTGTGGCCTTTTAGTCACATCATATATTTATTTGCCAAATGTATATTGGCTACTATGTACCAGGCAGTATACTATGTGCTATGTTTTGGTGAAGTAGATATGGTCCATATCCTTTTGGGCTCCCCCTCCACCATACAACTTCTATAATATTATTATTTTTTAAAGTTAATTGATCTTTATTTGCATGCCAGCATATAATATTAGATAATGAAATACAGATAATTGAAATAAAAATATACATATACTCTGTGGATGCTTAATACTTTAAACTTTACATAAATATTCATACTGTTTACAGTTGAAAAGTACACTCTCTGGATCAGTAGAGAAGTCAGCTAAGTCAGTCACACATTATCTAGTTTTGGATGATCTTAAGTTGAGAATTACAAGAATATGAAGAGAATCTTTCTACCTAAGCAATCAACATACCCACTGTGAGACCACTAATGAGCACACCCAAATGTGGGAAAGTGACTCAGAATGCTGTAAGAACAAATGTAGTGATACAAATCATAAAAAATATGTATTTTAGCACATCTGTAATCCCAGCTACTTGGGAGGCTGAGGCAGGAGGACTGCAAATTCAGTGCCATCCTGAGCAACTTAATGAGATCTTATCTCAATATAAAAAATAAAAATGTGGCAGTCCTGAAGAACACAAACAATAGTAAATGCTGGTGGGGATGTGGAGAAAAAGGAACATTCCTACACTGTTGATGAGATTGTAAATTAGTACAACCACTATGGAAATCAGTACGGCAGTTCCTCAAAAGGTTAGTCATGGAACCACCATATATGACCCAGCTATACCACTCCTCAGTATTTATTCAAAATAATTAAAGTCACTGTACTACAGTGATACAGTCATACTACTGTTTATAGCAGCATGATTCACAATAACCAAACTATGGAGCCAGCCTAGGTGTCTGACAATGGATGAATGGATAAAGAAAATGTGATACACACACACACACACACACACACACACACACACACACACACAATGGAGTTTATTCAGCCATAAAGAAAAATAAAATTGTCAATTGCAGGAAAATGGATGGAATACAGACCACTGTTAATGGAAATAAGTCAATCTCAGACATTAAGGGTCATGTGTTCTCTTTCATATGCAGAAGCTCAAGAGGAAAAAGGAAAACAAAGGTGGGTTGGATCTGCTAAAAATCAAAGAGAGATCAGTAAAGGAATGGGACCAAAGGGTGGGAGGTGGGGAGGGAGGAGTGGAATGCTGGGAAATGATATTGGCCAAATTATATTGTGTGCATGGATGCATATGTAACAACAAATCCCATCAAAATATACAACTATAACATACATATGAAATTTTTTTAAAAAAAATTCAGGCTAACAGTCAAATACCCAAACAATAAAAGTAGCAACCCAAGTTTTAGATGGCTAGAAGAATAATTACTTTTTAAGGTCCCTTCTTTCTTTAAGATTCAAACAATATAACAGCTTGTCTGGCATAGGTCAGTGTTTTTACACTACAGGTAAGGATTTCTCAGTCATTTTTAATTTAAGCTCCCACAAAGCTTTCTTACTATATCCTAGTAGCCAGTTGTATTTTTGTTTTACTGTGTATTATTTGTCTAGTTTGTAATATGAAAGCAATAGGCATTTTAAACAGGCTTTTTTTTGAACTAACATATCTCCCCAGAGATTCTGATATAGCCCTTAAATATTATATAAAAAGCACTCTAAATTAAATTTTATATTTTATAATTTTAAAGTAAAATGCAGTAATGTATATGTATTTTTTTACATGATATCATTATTTATTTATTTTTATGGGTGCTGAGGATTGAACCCAGGGCCTCTCATGTGCTAGGTGAGCACTCTACTGCTAAGCCACAACCCCAGCCCTGTATATGTATTTTAAAAATACTTTTTAGTTGTCAATGGACCTTTATTTTACTTATTTGTATGCAGTACTGAGAATTGAACCCAGTGCCTTACACATGCTAGGCAAACATTCTACCACTGAGCCACAACCCCAGCCCTGTATATGTATTTTTAAACTGTGCACTTGATTAAATATCTCTTACTCACCACTGCTTCTTCCCATTTCAAAATCACCAGGCACTTCAAATGCCCCAGAAGAGAAATCTTCCCTAACCTTAGTAAGGGACAGTCCAACTCCACAATCACGGCAGGGATATTAGACCAGAAACCAAAGGTAAGTAAAGGGATGAAAAGTGAAGCCAAACAAAAGTAGAAATCTAGGTGTATTAAAGAGGAGTGAGGTTGGTACACTGTGAGATTGCTGGCAGCGTGAATTATTAAAGACAATGCTGAACAATATTTTATATTCTTATCCAGCTAGCCAGTGCTTTATGAAGCCTCCTTACCATTATTGATTGAATCAAAGCCATCCATCCAGTTGCCAGATTCAAGCTCATCATAGGTGTCATCATCATAATCTTCACTGTACAGCTTACCCTCAGGTCCAGGATCCATGAAGCTCAAGTGCGAGCAGCAGGATGTCGTCAAAAACTCTGACAATTTACCTGTTTGAATCCTGACAATTAGAGGGTAGATACAAAACAGGAAATCAGGGGCAATCCTTTTAACACCACAAAATCTTTGTGATAAAATAATACTTATTATGATTTGTTGGAGGATTACTAAAATTCATCATTAGTATACATTTTGTAAACGTGAAATTTCTCAGCACTCCTAGGCATAATGCTCAGCTTAAATGGTCAGAGGGTTCTCTTAATAAAGTCTACAATTATGGGTTCACAATCTCCAAGCACATCAATTTTGTTCTCTTCCATTGCCATATGTTATTTTGATAACTATGTCAGATGTCCAATTTGCATTGGCTACTTAGATAAGCCAGGAGAGAATGAATATAAATCAAAACAAACCCATCACATCATTTAAAAACTAGCCCCTGCTGAACATTTGGAACATAAAAGATGGTATTTGAAAATTTTATACATTACAGTAGCCTGTAAGGCATATTTTCCCCTACTTATAAAGCCAATTACAAAACTCAAAAGGAAAGTGAGTAGTAATAATTTTCTAAAAAATCCAGCTTGAAGGAGCTGCTTATTCCCAGACCTTGGATAATGTGTTCATTGAAATAAATGATGACAGGAATAGATCATGACATATTGAAATAAAATAAAAGCCTATGAATCTATGCTGATACTAAATGACAAAATATAGGGGAAGACAAAGCTCCCTTTTATACATAGCAATGTCAACGAATGAATGTACACAGAGTGACAGAAACACAGAAATGCCCTTTTACAACTCTATTAGTAATAATTAAGTCATGGAAGAATCAACGGAAGCTAATTATTTGGTTGAAGACTGTTGGGAAAACAGATGGAGAAACTTGGCAGATACCACTTTAACCAAGTGATCAAAGTTAACATCACTAAGGTAAGAAACCAATCTCATGTGCCTCCTGATACAATGTCCTGAGAAGGACCCTAGTGATTTCTTATTTTAGGTGACTTCAGCATCTATTTTGAATATGTTTAATAACTTTCTCATAACACAGGGAGAGCTCAGTCATCCTTAACAGTTTCCAGTTCTGCACCTCCTCTATTTACTTAGGATTGATCAAGATATCTGCCTTATACAACTTCCTTCTGGTGATCACATTCCTAAGTACAGCTAGATACAGTCTATTTGACTGGTCCTTATGATCCCCACATCCTGCATAGACAGTGTAGATATGCTTAGTGATCTCTTCTGAGCCATAGTATGACCTCCTAGAATTCATATCTGCTTACTTTAAATTACTTTACCCCTTAGAATTTCCTATTGGAAACCTGTTTTTATAATGCCTTGGATCCCAATACAGGAGATGGCCCATGGGTCTCTGTCTTTGGGCTCCTGGCCTCTGTGTGTGGTTTCTGGGCATGCAATTCACTCTTTCCTTGGCCAGTAAGTAATAAAATCTATATTCCCATCGTGTATCTCTCCTAATCATTTAAAGGATTCTTTCCATCTTGAAGATCCTAAATTAAAACAAGGATTCAACATCACCCAGGTAGGCCTCCTGCCAAACATATAACCTGACAAATTCAAATTGAGAGACATCCTGCAAAATAACTGACCCACATTCTTCAAAAGTTAATGAGATTATCAAGAAAGATTATCAAAATGCTGGAAAACTGTTCTAGATTAAAAGATACCAAAGAGATATAATAATTTAATGCTAATGTTTACTTCTTTGGAAGTAAGTACTCCTTTGGTTGGATCCTGGATAGGGAAAAAAGCTATGGGAAAACATTACTGGGGCAATTGGGCAATTTTAAACAAGGATGTTATTAGACGTTAGATATGGTATTCCCTTCTTATCTGTGGGTTGGCATTCCATTGTTTCAGTTACTCAAGGTCTATGGTTGTCCAAAAATATTAAATAGAAAATATAAAAACAAATAATTCATAAATTTTCTATAAATTTTATCATAGTATATTGATATAATTGTTTTACTTTTAGTTATTGTTATTCATCTCTTACTGTGCCTAATTCGCAGCTATCTGTAGTTTCAGGCATCCACCACGTTTATCTAGGCATAGTATCCCTGAGAGATAAGAGGGGAATATTGTAGTGTATTAATATGAAATTCCCTACCTATGATGATTATATTGTGGTTACTTATAATACTATTTTTGTTCTTAGATGATGGAAATTGAAGTATTAAAGGCTGAAGAGTTATGATGTCTATAGCTAACCTTCTTAGCAAAAAAGTATGTGTATATATGTGTTTATATATATAAACACACACATATATATATACCCTCACCCATACATGTGTGTGTGTGTTTGTGTGTGTGTGTGTATGTATGCACGTATGTGTGAGTGAGGGAAGTGACAGGGAGGAACAAAGGAAGAGAGAGAAGAAGGGAGAGAGAAAACACACATTGAAACAAACGTCAACAATAGGTGAATACTGAGAAAGGGTACATGGGTGTTTCATACTATGCTTACAAATTTCTGTAAGCTGGAAACTCTGCAAAAATAAAAATTTGGGAGAAAAAAGCAGCCAGAATTGGGTAAATTCAGTAAACTTCTTTTTCTAAAAAATATGTTTTATGGTCCCCTGAGATCTAGAAAAATAACAGGGTGTGGAAATCTAAACTTTTTCTATTACATTGAATTCCTCGATTCATTCAATCAAATTCTAGTTCCTCTAGTATGATGGGATTGTGTTGTTGAAGACACACAGTGAGGCAACACAAGTCTGCCATTACTCTTCTCAACTCACAAGTTTCAATTCATTTCACTAACAGGAATATATAGATCACTTACCTTGCCCCACCAAAATAGCCATCCTGCATTTTTCGGAGTGCTGCCAGGATACTTGAATTCAAGCTCGTTCCATCTTCATCTTGAAATGGAGAGAATTTTAGCACAATATTTATGGCTTTAACTTTAAAGTAGGGGGAAATATTTAAAACCAACATTCTGGTGGTGATGGTACAAATAATCACCTTATATTTCAATAATTCACCTGCCTGAGAAGCAACATGCTGAATGGGCACATGGTAAGGCATTATGACTAATAGAAAGAGTTCTTCAAAGGCATTATTTTATTTATCCTAAGTACTTAATACAGTATCTGATGGCAGAGTGTTTAATCACTCCTGAATGCTGACATAATTATGCAGCAGTAACTATTTGTTGACTGTTATGTGCCAAGCACTATAATAAATGTTTTATATACATTATTTCATACATATATCTTAAGCAACACATCCTTAGTGCTTTTTATGAGATTGATTTAAAATTTCATGTTTTAAGTTTGTCATTTTTTTTTCTTTTTGTGTCTTGCAAAGGACAACTTTCCTCAGCCTTGATTTATATGTGTGTGCATAAGCATAAAAATGTCTAGAAGGCTAATAATTATCTGATTTTGTGTGAAAGTGATCATACTGCACATAATCATTTGTGATCCACTTTTTCTGATTCATCCTTTGCAATAGCTAAAAATGACTCCATAGAAGACATTTAAAGTTATAATCAACTCTGTACTGAAGATCATTGTACCTAATCTTTATGGATTTATTCTATTATTTCCTTAGGTTAAATTTCTACAGGTAGAACTTGTAGGACAAAGGGAGCACATATTAATATAATTATAGAGACTGCAAATCACCACTAAAATCATTGTGCCAATTATATTTCTGCCAACAGTATAGAAAGTGACTGCATTTCTATACTTTTAACAAGAATGGGCATTAGCAATCTTTTTAATCTTTGTTTATCTGATAGATAAAATAAGAAGACACTGTTTTAATTTTATTGCCAGTAAATTGAGCATGTTTTCATGTATTTACTGGCCATTTGCATTTCTTTCATGAATTGCCCATCAAGGATCATTTTTCCATTAAAGTAGTTTACATTTCTTTTTTTCAATTGACTTTCAAGAGCTTTTTATGTTTTGAATATTAATATTTTCTCTATAGATACATGGCAAATACTTTATATAGCTTTATTATTTTTCTTTCAACCTCATCCTTGGTGCTTTTATGTATTTTGTGTTTTTACATTTGTCAATTTTTTTCTTTTTGGTATATTTCAAAGGACAGATTTCGTCAGTCTAAGATTGCAAAAATATTCTACCATATTTGCTTCCATATTTGCCTTGCACATGCTAGGTTAGTGCTCTACCGCTGAGCCACAGTCCCAGCCCTTCAAAGGTTTATTTTGTGTGTGTGTAGCTTTTTTATTAATTTAGAATTTGTTTTTCACAAAAAGTAAAGTAATAAGCCTAAATTTATTATCATCTGAAATGTATTTATTTATAGTCTCTTGCCTCTATTTGAAATGCTGTCTTTATCTTCTTTTGCCACAATCTCTTTACTGATATATCTTACTTCACATCTCTATAGCAGTGTTTGTTCCTCAATAATTCTTTTTTTCATTATTATGCCTCACCTATCACCTCCAAGAAGCCTTTTATTTTTTTTGGTACTGGAGACTGAACCCAGGAGCACTTTACTACTGAGTGATAATCCCAACACTTTTATTTATTTATTTATTTTATTTTTATTTTGAGACAAATACTTGCTAAGTTGCTAAGGTTGGCCTCAAATTTGGAATCCTCCTGCCTCAGCCTCCTGAGTCACTGGGATTACAGGTACAGGCCACCACACCCAGCTGTTTGTTGGAAACAAATGTTGTCCAGGCTGGCCTTAAACTGCTATACTTAAGTGAACTTTCTGACTCAGTCTCTTGATTAGCTGGGACTACAGGCACAGACCACCACTCATTTCCACTCTATTTCTAATACCACCCATTCAGTGTGTCTTTTCTTCACCTCATATGTAAATTATCTTCCTTGAGATCAGTCTCTCCTCATTACAATGTGTACAGTCACAACCAATATTTCCTAAACATCACTTTGATCATGTCACTCCCTACTGAAAACCTTTTGATGGTTGACATAATCTGATCCTACTTTATTTCTCCAGTTTTGTTTATAATTATCCTCCAGTATGCAAAATCCATTCTACTAAGGTTAGTCTCTTCATTGGCCTCACAAGTCAAGCTCATTCCTGCCTTCAGGTTGCACTCATGGTATTTCCCCCCTCAAAGTACCCTTTCTTCATGCCTCCTCCTATATTTATATGAACAATTCCAAAAACCTGCTTAAGTCTCACCTCAGTTGAGAAATTTTCTTTTATAATCTGATAACCTTCACTGTGAAATACTAACTTATTGATTGATTTCTGTTATTTTATGTATTAATTTTGCCCCTCCAATTAGACTTTCTTCTTTCTAAAGACAATTCTGGGAACAAAGTAGTTATTAAATGGGTACTTGTTAATTGCCCTAAAGGAAAAAGAAGAAAGACTACCCTACTTTCTCAACTCCTATGATTCTGAAGCACTTTTAAGATGTGACTAAAATTCCTAACAGTCTATCTGGATTTTAAATGACTTATGGTACAATATTCTTCTTTAGTGAAAAGGAACTCTATGTACTTTGGCAGTATAAACAAACCTTTGGAAGCAACAACAGAAGCACAGAAAGAAAGCAGTGGCTTCAGTATTGGCTCTAGTCTTCCAGGAACTGAGAGAACAATAAAGCCTTTCACCCAGTTTCAACTAAGCAATGGCAGGAAGCCCAGCCAAAAAAGAAAAAAAATACACCAAAAGCCTTTTCACTTTTTCTCTGCTACATTTTACTGTTTCCACCAGACAGGCTTTGGAAGGAGAAGCCTGGGAATTTTTCTATAAAATATTGTTCTATTGGAATAAGATGCAAAATGTAGTATTACTGTTTTGCTATTTGTTTTTCTGTAGAACTGGCAATTTAACCTAGGGGTTGTCTGCCACTGAGCTACACCCAGGTCCCTTTTTATTTTAATTTTGAGGCAGGGTCACCAAGGCTGTCTTTGAACTTGAAATCCTCCTGCCTCAGTTTCCTAAGACACTGGGATTACAGGTGTGTACCACCACACCCAACTGATATTACTGTCTCTAAAAAGAATGTGTATCTATAAAGCCCTAATTTAAAAATCACTATAAATAAATAGAAGGAAGACCAATAGAATAGAGGAGAGGAAACGGGGAGGGGGGGAGAGAAGATGAGGGAAAGAGAAAGTATTGTGGACCAAAGTGGAACAAATTATATTCCATGCATGTATGATTATGTTAAAATGAACCCCAATGTTATGTATAACTATAATGCACTAATCAAAACATTTTAAAAAGTATTGCATGAATATGGTTTCTATAAATTGACTTAGAAATAAATTATCTAAAGTAGCCCCCAACCAAGGTTTTCTCTGGTACATTTTTAAAAATCATGGCTCTCAAATCATTTTAAATATTCTGTGTATTTGTTTTATACTTATTGTGTCTTAGCTTTCTAAAACATAAGGGAGCAGAGACCTGATCAAACTCTTTCTCCCCATATGTCCCCAATTCTTAGAAAACAAAAGAGGAGCTAATGAAAACTGCTGAAAGAATAAAATCATAAGAAGTAGCTAGCTCTCCATTACATCTAGGACATTGAAGGACTAAATATCAGACATTTTTAAAAGTATACTCATTCCTTGGCTCTTAGAGCCCTTACCAAGCATGGTGTGTGAGATGGGGAAGGTGATGGTGGGCTGGCCTGTCATCCTCCAGCGGCTACAGAGGTAGGAGAGATCTGTCCTGAGCATTTCCACTATCATCTTGTTGTCCAGAGCCAGGTAGAACTGTTGCTGGTCTATAAACTGAGGAAAAAAATAATACTTCAGAACAATTTGGTCTCATAACTATGAAATAATATTTTAAAAATACATATTCAGAAGGCTATATAAGATGTCATTGAAGCAATGATATTCCCAAATTTAATGCCTAATAAGTCCCAAACAAAGTATGTGGTGGTCAATCAGCAAATACAACGTTTCTGACACTTTTAAAGTGCTCCTGTTTAGAAAGTTTTTTCAAATATATATTTTTATTTAAACCTATAACCACCTGACAAGTGTTTTTCTTCCTTTGATAAATACAAAATAAAGCCAAGAAACAATATATGGAATAGCAAAGTCATATGGCTAGCAAATTGCAAATTCAGAAACAGTGCAGGATCCTCTACTTTTGTGTCTGTATGCATCTCAGCTATACTATTTCACAAGATGAGAAATGGAAAGTCTATACTTTCCAGAAAAATTTTCCCCTCCCCAGACACACAACTAGGGCTTGCTATTGTGATGTAGTTAAGAAACATCATGCTAACAATATATATACTCACAACTTACAATATTGATATTTTTGTTTAGAAGATTAAAATTTCCATGCCCATAAAAAGACCCCTCCCCCAAATAAAGGAAACACATTAATTTAGTAGCTGAATAAAAAACATTGTATTTTATTTATAAAGGACAAATACAACCTTATTTTAACTTTTAAAAATAAGGGGAACTTTTTAAGTAACCCTTGTAAAATCCTGCAACACCCAGGACTACTCTTGGTAATCACAATCACTTGGATCACTTGGCATAACCGTGGTGCAAGTTTGATTTAGTTCAACTCAACAAATATTTATCAAGCAATTTAATATGTGCAAGGCCTTGTGGAACTCTTTGATACTTATCCCAATTCCAGTAAATACATTATTTCTGCAATGTTTCTTTCTTTTTCAACATTTTATTAGTTGTTGATGAACCTTTATTTTATTTATTTATTTACATGTTGTGCTGAGAATTGAACCCAGTGCCTCAGGTGTGGGGCCAGCACTCTATCACTGAGCCACAACCCCAGATCCATTGTTTTTTTCTTAATTTCTATTCATCTCAATGCATGTTCCCACTTATTTCACCCACCTGGGGAGTGAAAGTAAAGATAGTTTTCCGAATGTCATAGAGTTTTGAAGTTCCGAGTACTCCCATGAGTCTATAGGGTCGTCCGCTGAGTTTCATTCTACTGTTGCATCCTGACATAAAATTAAGAAATGGTCAAGATATTTTAGTGCACAAATTAAAGCAGGAAGCCTGTTTAAACACACACATCTTTGAGTTGAAGATGTCTTCCTTTTACAATTTAGCATTCTGAGATCAAAATTAATCTTATAATAATTGATGTTTATGTTAAATATACTCAAATTTCTTTAGTCCTCCAAAAGGCTGTCATTAAATCAATACTTCTTACAAAGAGGAAATTATTAAATTTTTCATGCAGATTTTCCTGTATAACACAGGATAATACTATACACATTACTCTTAAATTTCTTTCCCACAAAATACATAGTGAATATATTGTCATGTCAGTACTGACAAAATTTCCAATACTTTTTTATTTTTTGAACTTTTTTTTTGAGTCTTTGATATTTGCCCTTACTTTATCCTAAGTACTGAACTACAAAAATATGCTACAGTTTTAGAGTTCATTTATTCTTTGGAGGCCAGTACCAAAGAACTGTCAATGTCTTGATCATATTCCAGGGCCTGCTTAGTAAATCACACAATTTACCTGAACGTGGTTTTGCAACTAGATTTAGCCACTTCTCCTTTCTTTTTCATTACAGTAAAGTATACATAGCATAAAATTTATAATTTTAATAATTTTTGTTGAACTGGGGATCAAAACCAGGGGATCCTCTACCCCTGAGCTATATCTCCAGCCTTCTTTTATCTTTATTTTGAGACAGGGTCTTACTAAATTGCTAACATTGGCCTCAAACTTACCATTTTTTGGCCTCAATTTCCCATGCAGATGGGATTATACGCATGCACCACTGCACCCAGCCCACTTTAATATTTAAATGTACAATTCAGTGGCATTAAATACATTAACATAATTGTTAAATAACTTCCATCTCTAGAACTTTTTATCTTCCCAAACTAAAATTCTATACCCATTAAACAGTAACTTCTCATGTCCTCTTCCTCCCAGGCTCTGAGAACTACCATTCTACCATGTGTTTATGAATTTGAATATTCTAGGTTTATAATTGCCTGATTTGACTTAGCATAATGTCCTCAAGGTTCATCTGTTATAGCACATGCCAGAATTTCCTTCCTTCTTAAAGCTGAATAATATTTCATTCCATGTATATAACACATTTTGTTTATCTATCTATCTACTGATGGACATGGGAATGTAAAACAATGGTTTTAATTTCTCTAAATCCACACCAACACTCATTGTTTTTTTTAGCAAGTCATCATAATGGGTATGTATCTCATTGTGGTTTTGATTTATATTTGTCAAATGATTAGTGTTGTTAAGCATTTTTTTATTTCCTTATTGGCCATTTCTATGTCTTTTTATTAAAGAAATGTCTATTCAAGTTCTTTGTTGATTTTTTAAAATCTGGCTGTTATTGTTGAATTGTAGTTCTTCTTAACTTTCTTAACATTTTTGGATAAATTCCCTTATCAGATATGAGATTTATAAATATTTTTTCTTATTTTGTCGATTGCCTTTTTACTTTGTTGATGGTTTCCTTTGAGGCACAAAAGTTTTATTTTGATGAAGTTCAATTTCTCTATTCTTCTTTTGTTGACTGTGCTTTCAGTATCATATTAATCTAAGAAATTCCTGCTAAATTGAATGTCAAGAAGCATTTCTCCTGTTTCTTCTAAGAATATCATAGTTTTGGGTTTTACATTTGGTCTTTAATACATTTTGAGTTAATTGTACATGGTGTTAGGTTAGGATCTAACTTAATTCTTTTCAAGTGGAATGTAGTTTTCCCAGAACCATTTGTTGAAAAGACTGTCCTTTCTCCATTAAGTGATCTTGGCACCCTTGTTGAAAATAATCTGATCATTTAGGCAAAGGTTTATTTATGTGCTCTCTATTCTATTCCATTGTTCTGTATGTCTATCTGTATGCTAATACTACATTGTTTTGATTGCTGTAGCATGGTAGTATGTTTTGAAGTTAGGAAGCACCAAGTCCTTCAATTTCTTCTTTTTCAAAATGGTCTTGGCCATTTTGGGGGTCCCTTGAGTTTCCATATGAAATTTTTTGGGGGGTACCTTGGATTAAACCCAGGGACGCCTAACCACTGAGCCACATCCCCAGCCTTTCTAAAAATATTTTATTAGAGACAAGGTCTCACTGAGTTGCTTAGGGCCTTACTAAGTTGCTGAGGCTGGCTTTGAACTCACAATCCTCCTGCCTCAGCCTCCTGAGCTGCTGATCCACATGAATTTTAGAATGAATTTTTCTATTTTTGCAAAAAAAAAAAAATCTTGTGGCCCTTTTATTTTGGCTTTTTTTTTTTTTTTGTACTGGGGATGGAACCCAGAGGTACTTTACCACTGAGATACATCTCCAGCCCTTTTCATTTTTTAAAATTTGAGATAGGGTCTTAGTAAGTTGCTTAGGGCCTCACTAAATTGCAGAGGCTGGCCTTGAACTTGGATCCTCCTGCCTCAGCTTTCCAAGCTGCTGGGATTATAGGCTTGTACGATCACACTCAGCTTCTTCTTGTGGCCTTTTAATAGGTATTATATTCAATCTGTTGATAAGTTTGGGTTGTACTGATATCTTAACAATGTTACATGTTCAAATCTATAAATATGAGATGTCTTTCCATTTATTTCTATATTCTTTAATTTTTTTCATCAAGGTCTTATCATTTTCAGTGTACAGATCTTTTACTTCTTTAGTTAAGATTGATTTAAAATATTTTATTCTTTTTGACACTATTGTAAATGGAAGTGTTTTCTTAATTTCCCATTTGAATTGTTTATTGTTAATGTATAGACATGACTTGTGTGTTGATTTTTGTCTTATAACTACTAAGTTTATTAGTTCAATCAATATTTTTGTGTACATGAAAACTTTCAAGTTTTCTTCATATAAGATCACAGATGAATAGAGATAATTTTAATTCTTCCTTGATTATTTGGATGTGATTTATTTCTTTTTCTTGCCTACTTTCTCTAATTGGACCTTTGAATACTATATAGAATAGAAATCTGTGTCTGTTTTGACTGTATTTTTTTTAACTTTTATTCACTTGGTTTACTGGTATGTCTTCTTATACTTTTTCAATGTTAAATACAATGTAAAAAGAATTGTAGGGGCTGGGATGTAGCTCAGTGGCAAAGCATCTGCCTTGCATTTGCAAAGCCCTGGGTTCAATTTTCAGTTAAAAAAAAAGAATTGTAGGGGCTCTGGATGGTATTATTTTTCTCCACAGACAACTTACTTTATTTTGGCAGTCAGATCATCTCAAGCAGATTACCTTAGTCTAATCCGGGGTTCAAAAGGTTTTGTTTAAGGCTTTGTGTTTAAGGCCTTCTAAGAATTGGTCTATTTGTGGTTTTTCCTTACCCCAGCATACTGCCCTCTCCTCAAAGCTTTCACCCAGAATCCAGAGGTGTTCATCCCAGTCCCTTCCACATAAGATGGTCATGAATTGCAATTTTCCTCCCTTCCATAAACTCTCTGCATATTTTCTTGGCTCCTTATTTCAGTCTTAAACAAAGCTTAAGAATTAGTATATGCCTAAAAGGGAAATTGCACGGGGAATGGTACATTTACTTCTTTGAGGTCGACAGTTTTGGCTTCTCAAATCCTGGCTTTCATAATTATGCTCTGAAGCCTTCTTCACCTTTATTTTTAAAATTCAGACATTGTATTAATTCTCAGTAAGAGGATTAACCCAATACAAGCTATTTCATTATAGCTGGAAGTTGAAAGTCTCCTTTTACTTGTGGCATACTATATCATAATTCTACCATTCTTGTTCATACATAATATGTTCCTTTTAATTTTTCTGTCAAATTGTGCTATAAAGAACACTTCTATAAATGTCATGTAGGATAGATTCCTAGAAGTAAGGATTGTTGACTAAAGGTAGCTATATTAAACTATTTTACAGTTAATGCTAATCTGCCTCTGATTTGTACTACTACCAAGAATGTTGGGAATGTCCATGCTGCCACACAGTCATTACAACTGGATATTACCAATGTTAACTTTTATAAAACTGATGGCAACAAATAATAGTGTTTTTTTGTTTTACCTTAAATTTTCCAAATCATTAGTGAGATTGAAGCTGTGATAACTTTAAAAATCTTTAAAAATGTAAGTACTAGGAAAGGAGAAACAGTGATTGAGAGATCAAACGTAAGATCAGAAGTATAAACAAATACACACAGAGTAAATGAAAGTCATTGCATTTATAAATATTGTATATGTGAACTATTCAATAAATAGTGCTGTAATAAATGGTTAATTATTTTTTTGGGGGGGTACCAGGGATTGAACAAGTTAAAACTCTAGCCTAAGAGTTAAATGTAAAATTGTAACCAAAACATAACTAAGAGAAAATGTAGTGAAAATGTAGCTGACTTAGTGAGAAGCTGATCTCTAAGTGTAACAGGAAAGAAAGAAAACAAAAAGAAGAAAATTTTAATATATAAAAACATAAAATTTTATATTTCAAAAGCAAACACAAAATTAAAAGGCAAATAATAAAAGAGCAAAATATAGTGATAACATGTGGAAGACAGTGTCTGCATCTCTAGTATGTACATGTATTTGTGTGTGTGTGTGTTCCTATGTATATAAAATGCATAGAAATCAGAAAGAAACTGACAGTTGTACAGTAGAAAAAAAAGCCAAAAGAATATAAACAGACAATTTTCAAAATAAATTGAAAAAAGACTAATTTATGAAAACATGTTAATCCACCATAAATCCAGAAATTTGAAGAAATTATGCTAACACAAGTAGGAAATTGGAGTACGGTACTTCCCAAAATGTTAACAGGGTTGGTCATATATTGTTATATTGTAAAAACAGAAGGCAAAATCTATTTTTATGACAACATTTTTCTAAAAGTAAGTGTGCTTTATTTTATAAAAGCATATTGGAATCAGGTGACACATGCCTGTAATCCCAATAGCTTGGGAGGCTGAAGCAGGAGGATTGTGAGTTCAAAGCCAGCCTCACCATCATAGCAAGGCCCTAAGCAACTCGGCAAGATCCTATCTCTAAATATATATGGATGGGGATGTAGCTCAGTGGTTAAGCACCCCTGGGTTCAATCCCCAGTACTCCCCCCACTAAAAAAAACTTATTGGAAACAAGTACACCAAAATAAAACAGCAACTTCCTTAGAGTATTATAATAATAAGTGGTTTTTATCTCTTTCCTTTGTGCTTTTCTCTATTCCCCAGTTTCCGGAAGTCTATATGTACATATCATCTGGAAATTAGATAGCTTACAACTTATGAAAATGAACAGAACCAGAATACCATATCTATTCTGATGAAACTAGAAGATATATTTGTAATTCTAGAAGGAGTGGAAAATATATCTGATAAAATTGATGTATTTGAATTTAAAGATTTGAAAAAAAAAGGCAAGAAAATAAAAGGAAAGTAACAAACTAGGAAATATATATGTTACAAATCTCACTGATATTTGGGCTGGGAATGTAGCTCAGTGGTAGAGTGCTTGTTTTTCATGTGGGAGGTCCTAGGTTCAATCCCTAGCTCCACAATAAATCAACAAACAAACAATCTCAATGTTCAAAATGAGTATTATGGGGCTAAAACCAAAATCAAGGTTTTACCAGGACTGATTCCTTTTGGAGATTCTAGGGAAAAAACCATTCCTTGCCTCTTCTAACTTCTAAAGGATGTGGGAATGTACATGTATTTATCTTTGGGTTATAGCCTTATCACACTAATCTCTTGCTCTGTAGTCACATCTCATACTTCTGTAGTCTGATAGCCCTCTGAATGTGTCTTATAAGGACATTGCAATTACACTTAGGGTTCAACTGAGTAATCCAGAATAATATTTCCATCTGGAGCTCTTTAATTTAATTATGCCTGCAAAGTTCCTTTTGCCATATTAGGTAATGTACATAGGTCCTGGGGATCAGTACCTGGATATCTTTGAGGGTCATTCTGTAGTCTTCCACAAATGCAGTTTAGAAATTTTTATATCCTTTTTATTGGTGCTAGACATTGAACATACTAGATATTCACTCTGCTACTGAGGTATCCCCCTAACTTCCATATATTTTAAAATCTAACAATATAGTAGTTTATTGAATTTGAAAAGTAAGTCACTATGTTTAATATTTAAATTAAATAAAAATAAGTACCAATAAAAAGTAAGTATCAGATTAGGGAATTTTAAAAATATTATCAACTAGTTCATTACATAACAAAGTATAAAAGACCTAAAAATAAGTTTCTTGGTTATTCTTCTGTATGAAATTCATATGTATTTGAAACAGAAATATAGATACCAGGAAAGAGAACAGGTTAATTGAATACACACTTGGAATAAAGATATAATGTTGTCTGAAAGTAGTCATGCCCTGCATACCAAAGGATATCTAAAATTATCACACCTGCTCAAAAAAGAATTAGAAACTCGGACTCCAGATACTTTAAATTCTTCCTCAGATCCAGTTTAATAAAGCACTACAAGGTCAAGATTGGAAAAAACGGAAGGAAATAAGCCTGTATTGAGTAATGCTTTGGTTCTGGCAGGATGGTCAATATCCTTACCTAGACTGGAATAAATGTGGCTGAGAATACGAGCTGGTTGTACTCTGATGGGGTACACCTCAGCAATGGTCTCCACATCAATTCCATTGTCCTTCAAAATGGCCTTGATTTCTTCTGTTTCAGCAAGAATGGAGACTACAGAAAATAAAGATGAGATCAATAGACAGTTTCATTTCAATAGGAATGTAAAAATCCCCATGGCACATAATTTCTTTTGGAGGTAAAAAAAGGAAAGGAGAGGAAATTAACAGTTATGGAGGAAATAGGTTAAGCAGGTATCATCCTAGGTACTTTAGCAATATTATCTAAATAGGAAAGGGAAAAGATGACTAGAGTATTAGATTGTGCTTTTTGGCTAACTACCTAAGTGCTTAGAGAATGACACACTTTGTATTCAAATGGGAAAAATTCATTATGGGGGTTTTTCTTTATAGCTTGGGTAAAAATTGATTCCCCACACTACCCACACTCTTTTGTATCAATACACTTAAGGTCAGAGCCAGGAATGTGAGGGTTATAAAGAACATTCTGATAACAAGTTTTCCTATAGCTATAGAATGAAAGAAAGCTATATGAATTGGGGATAAAGACTGAGTCATCAACATACAGGAGGTATTATAGTTGTGGATTTGTGGGAGGAGGGGTTAGTAATGATAGCAATGACATTTCTCTAGACCCAGAGCCTGCCAAGCCTGGAAAATTCCTTTTTTTTCCATTAACACCAATGTCCCTGAAGTAGTAAGCCTATCCACAAGGCAAGAGGCCAGGTCAACTCCCTGATTCTTCCCAAGTTGAAGTGAAGTGAAGCTTCAGCTGGCTTGAAACATGCCCTCTTCTTCTGCTCCACTAGTACTGTTAGATGTGTTCCATTTAGTTCACAGGGGAAAAACGTACCAGTTGGTGAATTCCAGCTTAATAATATTTTCTTTTGAGCTTTGGGCAAATGCCTGGTTAACAAAATGCTACTTTGTTTTCCTTTGCCATTATCCTTTGTGTATTTTTGTATCTTGGCAATCTCATGCTAATAGGTTGCTGAGGTCTGGGCTAGGATATGTAGGACATGGTGATTAAAGAATCCCTTGAACATAACATCATCTTGATCACTTCGAAATGGAAAACATGAAAATGAAAGAGGAACATATATAGAGGAAAATGATAACAACTAATAACAGTCTAGGAAAATACATGTATTCAAACATTTGTTCATTAAAAAATACTTACTAACTACCTAAATGAATGAGGTGTGGAGCTGGTGATGTAGCTCAGTTGGTAGAGTGCTTGCCTAGCATGCACAAGGCCCTGGGTTCAATCCCTAGCACCACCGAGAGAGAGAGAGAGAGAGAGAGAGAGAGAGAGAGAGAGAGAGAGAGAGAGATATGACATGGGAGGATATATAGAGAAGAGGACCCAGAATATTAACTTGAGAGATTCTGACATATATAAAGAATGGAAGGATAGAAAATCCTGGGATTGTTGGGCATGATGGCATACAGCTGTAATCCCAGCAACTCGGGAGCCTGAGGCAGGAGGATTATGAGTTCAAAGTCAGCCTCAACAATAGCGAGATGCTAAGCAACTCAGTGAGATCCTGTCTCTAAATAAAATACAAAATAGGGCTGGGGATGTGGCTTAGTGGTTAAGCACCCCTGGGTTCAATACATGGTACCAAAGAAGGAAGGAAGGAAGGAAGGAAGGAAAGCCTGGAGTGGGGGATTCTTGTCTCATGGCTTGTATTTTCTCAGTGGCATAGCAGGTGAGGTCATCTTCTGAAAATGAGGGAAGAAGTAAGGAGGTGAAAAAAGGGGAAAAGTTTGGAATAGGAGGAAGCTGAGAGACAGGAACAAATATTAAGAGTAAGAAGATCAGTACCCTGATGACAGACTCAAGAATGCCAATAGTTAAAGGGCAAGTATAGGAACAGGAAAACTTGAATGGGCAGAAAAGCACTTAATATAGGTTAAAGAAAATCCAAGAGACTATGACATCACAGAAGAGATGAAAAGCTAGCATTTCCAGAAATACAAATAATAAATGAAACTGGAAGATCCACTAAGATATGGATTAAAAATATTCCCAAAATTGGCAACACAAAGGTCACTGGTATCTTAAGCAAGAACATGTTCAAAATAAACTAGTCTATAAAGTACTGCAGAATGAATGGAATATAAAAAGGCATAAGTGCAGATGACAAAGGAAGAAACTAGAGGGAGATAAAACACGTCAAATGATTGAAAAACAGAAGAAACAGTGGGAGAGTTTGAAGATACTGGAAAATTATAAGTTTCTTGAGGATGCTGGGGAAGAGGATAAAATCAAGCATCAGAAGGGGGCCTTGGCTTTGAATAGGAGAATAACACCTTTTTTCTGAGATTAGAGAAAAGGAAGCAAGGATGGGTAAAATTGTTGGGGTGGGGAGGGTTGGAGGACTGACAAAGATCAGAATATTAAGTGACTAGAGACATTTAAAGGGAGGTTCACAGCAGTACTTAATACCGTATTAATGCTTAGTGATGTTGGAAAGTCAAGAATCACCTCAAGCTTTCTACCCTAGGAAATGAGGACATTGGTAATGTCATTGAAAGTGATAAGGAAAATAGAAATATCTGTTTTTCTTGGGAGAGGTAAAAGGATGGGATAAAAACAGAAGATATCAGTTTTGTATTTGAAGTGTAAGTGATAGAGAAGTTTTTTAGGTACTGGAACACAAATTTTTAATATGTTTATAACTTAGCTCAGTGTTTTGTATGGAATAGATAGCTACAAATTTAAGTTGATTTATTTAGCAGTAAAAATAAAAGTTAGGCATACCCTCCAAGGAGGTAATGGTCAGAAGCAACCTTATTATGAAGTAGGTAGTCCCAGCAAATTAACACACAGTATATGTACACACAGAAAGATGAGAGTATGAGATTAAGTACAGAAACAATAGGAGAACATGAAAAGAAAGGAGTATTAGCAGATAAAGCACAGAAAAGGTAATTAGAAAGGAAGCAGAGATAAATAGGAGGCTGAAATGTTGTGACAATGAAAAGAGTTTCCAGAAATAAAAAGCATCAAATAATATTTTGAGTCCTCTGATATCACACATTATTCATTTAGGATTAAGATTAACAGTAAGTTTTGAACCAAACAGAACCAAGATCATCATATACTTTTTGAAATCTAACAAATGCAAGATGAAGAAAAAAAGTCATAATTTACTGGCCCCAAGGTCTCTGTCCCTAACCACACCTTGAATATAAAGTTTTACTATTGGGAATAGGAATACACACCTTGAACCACAACATCTGGCTTTGGTACAGTAGAAAATCTACGATTCAGGGGATCAATTTCTCCAGGAGCTAAAAATCCCTAAAAAAAAATCAGAAAGATTATTAGGTCACTAAATCAAAAACAAATAAGCTAATGTTTTAGGGAAAACAACATCATCAGAAATAAAATAAATAAACTTCTTGTATGAATATGTTTGAACTCCCATAATTCACATCCAAATTAATTTTATTTGAAGTTTATTCCTAGTGGTGCCCACAAATCCTTCTCTTGGAAGTAGGCAGGGTATAAATTCTAAATGAACAGAAAGTTTCAGATTACTCCTCTTCTTTCTCTAGATATACATATAATGACACATATTTAGATGATCAGACTCCAGTGTTATGAATATTTTAAGTCATTAGTCCTGCTGTTTCTGCACTTTTTTTTCCTGCATCTTCTATGCTTTCTGCTCATTGGAAATCTCGTTTTCCAGTTCTAGGGATCAACCCAGGACCTCTACAACTGACCTACATCCTCAGACTTTTAAAAATTTTATTTTATGTTTTTGTGGTGCTGGGGATTTGAACCCAGGGTCTTGTGCATATGAGGCAAGCATTCTACCAGCTGAGCTATATCCCCAACCCTAAAATTTTATTTTGAGTCAAGGTCTCACTAAATTGTTCAGGCTGGCTCAAATTTATGACCCTCCTGCCTCAGCCTCCCAAGTCGCTGGGATCACAGCTATGTTGCACTGTGTCTGAGTATCAGAAATCGTTTGACTTAACTTGAGTTTCTGTCCTTTATGAAATGTGATGAACTCACCTATTTTATTCTTAAGCATACCACTTATCTCCTCCTATTTTCATTACATATAATTTATTCTAATTGAATGATAAGTTTACCAGGCATGGATTACTTTAAACAAAACATTCTTCCCATTATTTGCTCTATTCATGTTCATGTCAACTAAAGATAATCAAACAGCCATGGTCACAAAAAACAAACAAACAAACAAAAACATCTCAGAAAAGAAATATCATATATAAATAGGTCAAAGAGTCTGGCTCAGAAAGGACAGCTTAGGGGGCTGGGGTTGTGGCTCAGTGGTAGACCGCTCACCTAGCATGCTTGAGGCACTGGGTTCGATCCTCAGCACCACATAAAAATGAAATAAAGATATTGTATGTCCACCTACAACTAAAAAATAAATATTAAAAAAAGAAAGGACAGCTAAGTCCCAGAGCAGATTCTCTAGGAACCTGGTTATATATCACATCAAAATAACCTACAATGGGGAAATATATTTGCTAGTAAATCTGGAAAACTTTGGAGAAAGAAACCCCTTTGTGTAGGTTCAAAATGCTACAAAGAAGCTGAATACAAAGTCAGAAGTGCTTCATTAAAGGCTGCCTCAATAGAATTTGATGTGCGGAACATTTCAAGAGTCCCTTACCAAAAACAACCAAATAAAAAGTCCATAGTGTTCCTACCCAGTTGTCAGGGTGCCTAAAATGATTAGTTCAATTAAAGAAAGAAACATTATGTTGCTTAGAAAGGTTAGCACTTAATCCACTGTCAGTAATTGCTATCTAAGGACAATTGCATTTATTAATCACCAGGCAAGGCACCTAGGAGTTCTGAATGGGAAAAATCCTGGGCTTGATCCTTTAGCATCTCCAAGTACAATGCCAAAGTAGAAAGCACTGGGTGGCATAAGGAAAATGGTTTCCAAGGAGTACAATATTTTCATCAAGGGCTGACTGTGCTTCCTACTCTGAAAACTTGGAAGAAAAACTATAATTAAGGCACACTATAAAAGGCAAGACATCCTTCAGATTTAATGAGCCACTCACAAATCTGATTATTAAGGTGACTAAGGCAGAAAAAGGCTGAGTAGCTTAAAGTTTCCCCTTACCTCTGCCATCAAGCTTCCTAAAATGTATAGAGACTGACCCCACATATGAGGCAACTTCCCCATGGGTACTCGGTCCACAGTGTGAGGATTTTGATATTCTTCATCAACCTAAATGAAAACACAAAGAGGCCAGATGAGAGGCAATACAAGGCTTATGATACTAGACCATAAAAGGCTGAGTCTTGATTTTGGCTTTACATAGTAACATATGCAATGCACTGATAAGTGAAGCATTATAACAATAGTCTAGGGCAGTGCTTGCTCCACAAACTGTAATTACCAGAAGAGCTAATTCAAATGGAGATTCTGGTTGAGGTGTGAGGGAGGGCATGACATCTATTTTTGAAAAAGACTCAGGTGATGCTGCTGATATTGCTAGGAGCTTATTCTTCCTTCCAATCCCAACAGAATGCAAGGTTGTATATCTCTTACGATTAGGGCTCTTTAACAAAGAGGAACAATGGTATACCTGATTTGTATTTTGGGAAAATGAAGATAGAACATACTTTGTTATCCAAGCCTGATCTACTCAAATGATCCTGGATTATTGGTCTCAAAGTGGAGAATATCAAAACCTGAGAGTACACACAGAACATCACGCTAGTCCTACCTACTGATCTCTATGTCATCCTCAGCATTATGGTTTGGTCTCATCCTATCTCCCTGTTTAGTAGTGCCATGATTGAGACTCCTTTACCAATTTATTACTAAAGGAATAAAATCATATTTCTATTGTCTAAAGAAAAACTTATTGAACACTAAAATCAGAAGATAAGCAATTATTTGATGCAAATGAAGCAGTCCTATTGAATTATGCCTCCTCTTCAATCAGTGTTATAGCATTTTCCAACTTACCCTGTCAGGAGGAACACTGTACAGCTCTGGCAGAAGTGGGACTCCATTTTTGCCCTTGATGAGGACTGCTTCAAGAGCCTCTCTATACTCTTGAACCTACAGAGAAAAGAAAGGCAGACAGTTCTTGTAGGTACCTAGGAGAGGCGGTAGCCAAGAGGTACTATTTCAAAGCAGCTTATTAAAGGGAAAGAAAGGGGAATGGTAGTAGATACTTGTTATAGAAAAATATTATTTTAAGACTTTGTATACTTTAATGTATTTAATTTCAATAACAGTAGGCATGTGTGATTGAAGCCATCTTACAGGGAAATGCAGGCTCAGAGAGGTTCTGAATTTGTGAAAGATCACAGGGCAAGGAAATGGTTGAGTCCAGAGTTCAACCCAAGTCAGCCTTCTTCCAAAGTCCTGCTTGATTCCATGTGTAGTACTTCAAGTATACCTCCTTGATTTTAGGATGGGTTGGACTTTAAAACTGCATTTTCCTGTGTCAAATTTGGTTTCTAATATGATTAGTTTTGTTCCTTTGCTTAGTAATTTGTTAAAGCCTAGCAATACATAAGATGTAAAAAATAAAAACAAATAGAAACAAACAAATAAGGGCTGGGGGTATAGCTCAGTGACAGAGCACATGCCTAGCATGCATAAGGCCCTGGGTTTGATTCCTGATACTGAAAAATAAAGTTAAAAAACCCTATAATTTATGATAGAAAAATGTACAATCAGTTATTCTATAACATTTGTTATTATAACTAGTGAAAGTGGGGTAATTTGTTCTGATGAATTGGATAGTTTAGGGAACAATTTGAGCAGAACATAAATTTCATGTTTGCTTATATATGGTTTCATCCCAAGAATGCATTCAGCTGCTTAAGAATACACAAAACACACACAGGCACATACCTCAGGAGGACAGTGAACTGTATCCATCCAGATATGCTGTTAAAAATTTCTATCCCATTTCAGATAACCCTTCTTTTACCACTTCATAGCTTACAAACTGTAACCCTTTGATGGTCAACCTGGCCACATGGCTATGAGTATTCCCCACTCTTCCCTCTTTTTAAATTTTTCTTCTTTGTTCTATGTTCTTTTTCTCTAATTTCTCTCATTATTTTCTTGTATTGTTGCATCTCAATTATACAGAATGATAGGTTTCATTGTGGTATATTTGCACATATACTAAAACACAATCTAATCGATTTTACTCCCCAATACTGCTTCCACCATCTTTTTCTTCCTCCCCTCTAGATGTCCTCTCTCCACTCTACTGTTCACCCTCTACTTTCATGGCATCCCCCTTTTTCCACTCCAGTCCATTTATGTTTTTATCTCTGAGAAAAACTGATTGTACCTTGAATTTACAACATGTCTCTATCTGTGAAATTCAAAGAACTCCAGGGATACTTTTTTTTTAAAAAAAATATTATTTGATCTGGGCATGGTGGCACACACCTATAGTCTCAGCAACTTGAGAGGCTAAGGCAGGAGGATTGCAAGTTTAGCCCAGCCTGGGCAAATTAGGGATACTCTGTCTCAAAAAAAAAAAAAAAAAAAACTGTTTAAAAGGCTGGAGATGAACAGATTGAAAAAAAAAGGCTGGAGATGAAGCTCAGTGGTGGAGCATGTATATACAGTGTGCAAAATCCTGGGTTTAATCCCTAGTAGTGTAAAATCATAATCTTAATTGTACATATTTATGGGATTCAGTGTAGTAATTTGATCCATAGACACAGTGTATAAGAATCAATTTGATTAGTTAATCAATTAGGATAGTTAACATTTCCATCTTTTTAATAATTTATGATGAGAGAAAAACTGTTCTGATGTACAGAGAAATGAAAGAAGTCAACAACAATATTTGGGCTACTCAGTGGTCAAAATTGAAGCCAAAAAAAAAATAGAATTTAGGTCTCCCAATTCTTATCTTAGTACCCTCAGCTACTAGTCTGTAGGGGACATCTCTGTCTCCTTTGTAGTAGGAAGACTTCAATTTGAACACAAAATTGATATAACCATTAACTGAAAGAGCAAGATATAACAAGACCAGTCTGCTGAAAACTCCTTCCCCAAACTCATTACCTGTTCAGTATTTCCACTGAAGACCCCATCAAGGATAAAATATGTCCAGAACAACGGCCATTCACACTCAATGTTTTCAAACAACTTCAGCTCAGCTGGTTCATAGTACAAACGATTGGGATCCTGGTAAAAATACAATAAACATTCTGTCTTATCACTCAGAGATTAGATGTACATCTTTTGTTCAGAGGTATTATTATTATTATGGCCTTTCCCTTCATATAGTTTGATTCAGAAAAGTCAGTCAGTACTTAATACTGTATGAGGTGATTATAACTAGTGAAAGTGGAGTAATAAGGACATCACAGGAGGGTATATGAAGAAGTAAGTTTAGCTTGCAATGAAGTTTCATTTGGTTTTATACTTGCTAAGTTTGAGTTAGTAATAGGACGTACAAATAGGAATGCTTACCAGGGCAGCTAGAGATGAGGGTTTGGGAATCATCTTCATAGAAATGATACATGAATTACCAGTTATAGATGAACTTAGTGAAAAAGTACTATATACAATGAGCAAACTGCCCCAAAATGGAATCCTCACAAATCTTCAGAGTGGGGTGACAGAAGGACAGAAAGAAGACTCAGGAGAGAACAGTGTGAAAATTAAAATAGGAAAAGAATTTCAAGAAAATGTAGGAGTAGGTAATAGTGATACAAAATGAAGAAGTCAAGGAGATTAAGGATTGAGAAAAAGCTATCGGATCAGTCACTTAGAAGCTTATGATGATGCTTTAGGGCATAATTTTAGTATACTGGTGGGGGCAACAGTCAAATTCAATGCTAAGGAATAAAGTGAAAAAGAGGAAGTAGGCCAGAAAAGTTTGAGCTTGATTTAAAAGATCACAATGGCCCTTGACCATCTCACTGAAGTCTTAAACAATATTTGCATTACCAATGAAAATGTTTATTATTGACCATTAATTCTCTTTAATAGTCAGGTGTAGTGATAAATGCCTGTAACCCTAGTTATTTGGAAGACTGAGGCGGGAGGATTACAAGTTCCAGATTAGCCTGGGCAAATTAGCTAGGCTGTCTTCAATAAATAAATAAGGGCTGGAGATGTAGCCCAGTGGTAAAGCACCTCTGGTTCAATCTCCAGGAACAACAAAAAAAAAACACTTTTAATTTATTTAATTTTCCCCATGGATATTTCCAAGAAAAAATTTGTCTATTAGAAAAAAAAGGAATTTAACCTTTTCAAGATTAAGTACTGTTTAGAACTAACCAACTAAAAAAACTTGCAAAGGGTTGCTATAATTTGGATTTCGTTTGAGTGTGTTCCCCAAGGGTCTATGTGTTGAAATTTAATCTGCACTGTTAGCTATTAAGAGGGCAGAAACTTAATCCAACTATGGTGTTTAGAGGTGAGGCCTGGGAGATGGGATTAGGATTCAATAAGATTATTAGGGTGGAGCCCTCATGAATGAATACTGGTGGCTTTATTAAAAGAGAGAGAGAGTGACCAGAAGAGACACACAGACATGCTTATGCTCCCTAGCTTTTGCCACATGATGCCCTGCACCACCTTAGGACTCTGCCAACAAGAAGGCCATCACTAGACATGAACCCTTGAACTCATACCTCCAGAACTGTGAGCCAAAATAAATAAAACATTTTTCTATATAACTCACCCATTCTGTGTATTATGTTATTGGCAGCAGAAAATGGATGAAGACAAGGGACCAGAAAGATGTACTGATGGCAAGATTTTTTCCTTTGTAATTTTTAAATATTGGGGGGAGATACTCATGAGATTATGCAAATTTTCTGGTTTTGCTTAAACTTTTGCCCACTGATTTTTAACATTCATCAGTAATTCTTTCCTGAAATAAACTAACTGCAAGAGTTTTCTTTCTATTTATCTAATCCAGAATGGTCCCCAAACTGAGAACATGGCAGTGAAGCCCAACAAATACAGCAAACACCAGTTATTATTTTCCTATTTAGTGATTTATGTAAGCACCATCAATGACATAAATATTCTCTCTGAATGATGTTGCAGATAGCAGTGACCCTTCTCCCATACGTTCATTTATGGAAAAAGAAACCTACTTCTTTAGGAGTTTTATATCCATCTCGTAGGAAACGACAGCAACCATAACGACCCTGGGGAGATAGAGCAAAAATCTCAGAAGCTTATACATAGGTACATCAATATAAATAGTCAGAAATATATATTTGGTAAAATCTATCTGTGCAGTTTCTCACCAATACAGACATGATAGCTAAAAACAAAAACAAAAAACCTGAAATCAGCCCAGCAGCAGAAACTGATTTCCAGCAATGTGATTTCAAGTGAGGGCTAAGTTATAGGTTCTTCCTTAGATGAGCATTACTAACAATATCCACCTTAGGGTAAGTCTGACAGCCTAATTACTAATCTATATGGTCCTGCCAATAGCTCACAGAGCTTATGAGAGACCACAGGGTTTAAAAAACATATTTTTAAATTTGAGAAGTTACAAATACTGTACAGTGTACCAATATATCCATCAATCACCATAATCTTATATTAACATCTTACATAATCATAGAACATTTATCAGAACTAAAACATTAACTTTGGTACAATACTATTAACCAAAGTACAGAAGTTAAATGGTTTTCACCAGTTATTCTACTAATGCTCTTTTTGTGTGTGTGTTTGTTCCAGAACCAAATTCGGAATCCCACACTTCTTTTAGTTGCCCTGTGTCCTTAGTCTCTTCCACTCTATGACAGTTCCTAAGCCTTTGTTTGTTTTTTATGACCTTGATACTTTTAAAGAGTATTCATGAGTTATTTTGTATAATGTCCCACATTTAGTTTTGTCTGACTTTTTCTCATAATGCAATTTAGGTTATGTATTACTGGAGGATACCACACAGTTGATGTGCCCTTCTCAGTGCATTATAGAAGGGGGCATGTGATATCAATATATCCTATTAGTGGTGAAGTTCCCCCGATCATTCTGTTAAAGTGGTATCTGCTGGGTTTCTTCACTATAGTTTTCCCATTGTAAATATTAGATATTAGATATTTGGAGGGAGACACTTTGAAACTATACAAATATTCTCTCTCTGCTTAAGCTTTCATCCACAGATTTTAGCATCCATCAGTGGGTCACTCCTGAAACAATTATATTTTAGTGTTTACCTAATGGTAATTTTATATTTCCTTTATTTCTTCAATATGTTTTTGTGTATACAGTAAACATTTACTTAATATTTGATAATGAATGATTCTTAGTTGCTTAAACATTTCACATAAGCTATGACCCCTAAATAATTTTATTGGTGAATAATAATTATACAGAACAGCAGGTTTCATTGTGGCACATTTGTACATGCATATAACATGATTAATAACATTCCCCAATATGTCCTCTGCTCTCTCTCTTGATCCCCCTGCCTCCCTACCTATACACTAATGGTTTCTTATAGAGTCATGTTTCTACTAGCATAGTCCATAAAGAACCATTCCATCGCCCTCAAAATAATGCAGAGCTCCTCCCCCACCTTTCTTTTTCTTTTTTCTCTGTAACTTCCACATGACAGGTGGGTATCTCATGAAAACCAAAGGGAAACTAGTAGGGTAGAGGAAAGGGACCACAGAGGGAAATGGGAAATACTACAGGATGATATTGACTGCTATGGTTTGGATGTGAGATGTGCCCCAAAAGCTCATGTGTGAAACAATGTAAGAAGGTTTAGAGATTACATGATTGGATTATGAAAGCCTTAACCCGATCAGTGTGTTAATCTCCTGATAGGACTGAGTGTTAACTGAATGTGGGTAGGGTATGGCTGGAGGAGATGGGGCATTGGGGGTATGCCTTTGGGGTATAGATATTGTATCTGGCAAGTGGAGTCTCTTTGCTTCCTGATCAGCATGTGAGCTGTTTCCCTCTGACACACTCTTCCACCACTATGTTCTGCCTCACCTGAAGCCCTTGAAAATGGAGCTGTCTATGGACTAAGACCTCTGAAAACATGAGCCCCCAAATAAACTTTTCCTCCCTTACAACTGTTCTGGTCAGGGTCTTTTAGTCACAGCAGTGAAAAAGCTGACTAAAACATTGACCAAATTATATTGTTATATTGTGTGTGTATGAATATATAACAACAAACCCATCATTATGTGTAATTATAAGGCACCAATTAAAAATCTTATTGTTAAAATTAAACAAAATTCCAGAGCTATATCTTTTTAAATTTTTTTTTAGTTGTAGTTGGACACAATACCATTATTTTATTTATTTATTTTTTATGTGGTGCTGAGGATCAAACCCAGAGCCTTGCATGTGCTAGGCAAGGGGTCTACTGCTAAGTCACAACCCCAACCCCTTTAGACTATATCCTTATAGACAACCTCTACCTCCAACTTCTGGCAACCACTAATGTTTGTTTTTTTTTTTTTTTTCCTGTTCATTTTTCTTTTCCAGAGTACCATGTAAGTAGAATCATAGAAAACATAGTTTTTGGGGTCTGGTATTTATTTCACTTAGCAAAATGCACTTAAGAATCATCCATATTGTCACATAGATCAGTATTGTTGAACAGTATTACATTGGGAGGAATTATAATTTTTATCTATTTTTGCATTGAAGGTTGTTTCTAGTTCTTTTTTTGCAATTATCAGTAACAATGTTATAAACATCTGCGTGCAGATTTTTGTTAGAAAATAAATAAAGTATAAAATAAAAACAAATTTTTATTTCTGTAGGGTAGCTATATAGGAAATAAGTCATTGGATCACATGGTAGGTATATGTTTAAATTTGTAAGAAACTGCCAAACTGTTTCCCAAAGTGGATGTACCCATTCTGTATTTCCACTAGCAATAATTATAGAAACTAAAAAGTTTTTAAAGGAAACTATTAGAAGAGGACAACTCAGAAAAATAAAAAATTCCTTAAAATCACTGACACCGATCATGTTCAAGGCCTCCAGATGCACTATTCCCCTCAAAGTCACAGCCTCAAAGAGAAGAAAGGCAAATGTGGACATACCTGAAGCTTGGTGATTATCTCCTGTTTTGTGAGCTCCACCAACTGGCTGTCCTCGACAGCAAAGGCTGGGAAAGAAATCACTGACAACAGACTAGCATCAACTTCTTTGGATGTTGAAGCCCGGGGCAGTAGTGAATTAAGGATAGACTAAGAAGAAGAAATTCAAATATGGTACATTAGTAAATACCTTGGCATTATAAAACAGTTTTAGTTTCAAGAGATTAATGTGGAAGATCTTTCAGAAGATAACCTCAACATTATTCAATAGAGAGAGTTTAGAAAACTAGCTACTTTGGTTAAGTCATCCCTTCTCTTAATCCTGTTCTTAATAAGTCCCCATTCTATTCTTAAGGAGCTGCTTGTGTATAGAGATCACTCTAACATTATCCCACCCATTGTCGTATTGGTCCATTAGTAGCTATTTAAGGATAAAGTTAAGGCAAAATATAGCTGCTGAAACACAAGATAAGGAAGGGTCAGGTCTTATGCTTCTGACATATATTTTTTCCCATGGAAAAGTTTTGTTTTTAAAATTAGAAGGCAAGGTTATATTCATTAGAACACATGAACATCTAATCAGACTTTGAAAAAAAGGATAAAATTCATCATTCCAATGAGAAAAAAACATCTAAATCTTTCTTTATAATAAACTCTTTCTTTATATCCATTTGTTTCAGATGGGGCCTCACAATGTTGCCCATGTTCATCTCAAATTCATGAGTTCGCCATGAGCTCAAGTGATCCTCCCATTTCAGCTTCCTCAGTAGCTGGGAATATAGGCATGTGCTACCACACCCAGGTAAAACTTATATTTCAAAAATGATAGTAATCATAAACAAAACTGAAGATGTATATTTACAACATTAACATTCTGATCTCCAAATTATCTAACCCTGGAGGTTACCAAACAAAAGACTGTTTCAGAGACACTGTGAAAAATACCCCCAAACTATTATCTCTTGTTCTCTTTATATATTTAGAAAAGGAAATTTTCAAGAATATTATAGCCTCTTGATATGATGGCAATGAAGAATTTTGTATACTAAGATAGGATCCTTTCAAAACCTTTTATAACAGAACAGGAATATTATACATTTTATAGACCATGCTATATCTGACTTATCTCAGTACACTATGCTTGATAAAGACATTTCTTGACACATGGTAATAAATCAGATGATGTACTATCCATCTGTTCTTCTTAATCTATAGCTCATGCTAAATGTGAGTCTAGGCAAGAATAAAATTTTCTATAACATGGTCCATTATTCCCTTACCTGGCAGTGTTGTACTTCATCAGCTAGGACATGAATAACAGATTGGGGCCCACCTTTTCCACCAAATAGGTCCAGTTCATCTAGTGCTTCCAGGGCTGCCTGTACAAAGCAATGGAAGAAAGGACACCTTCAAGGTTAGAAAGATAAATACTTCTGGGCTGGAGATATAGCTCAGTGATACAGCACTAGCCTAGCATATGCAAAGCGCTGGGTTCAATTCCTAATACCACTACCACCAAAAACAAACAAACAAATCCCAAAAGGTGTATATTTATATTCCCTGTATCCTAGTATCTTACCAATGCATATGATGTCACTTTTAAATATGTTTGATAGAGCAGAAAATACAATAATATTTATTTTTCTTTTTCTCCCATATGGTCCCAGAGATCAAGTCAAGCAGCACACCAAAATAATTTGACATCATTATGTACAACTATAATGCTCCAAAAAAGTGAAAAAATAATTTGAACATAGAACATGAATTTGTAGTAAACCATTGTTTTTTTTTTGGCAAGGATGCTCCAAGTATGATACCAGCACATAAGAAATGTTAGAAGTTGTGTGGTGTAAGATAACATAACCACCATACATATTGCTACACAGCTGAGTTTCCACACAGAAGTAACTTCCTTAGAAACATACTATAGTTGACTTTAAAATAAACATTCTTAGTCACCAAAGAAGGAATTCCCATGGTTTTAATTTTTTAAGAATATTTTATTTTTTAGTTATAGTTGGACACAATACCTTAATTTAATTTATTTATTTATATGTGTTGCTGAGGATCGAACCCAGTGCCTTACATGTGCTAGGCGAGCACTCTACCGCTGAGCCACAACCCCAGCCCTTCCATGGTTTTAATTTTATACACACACACACACACACACACACACAATTTATTTATTATAGTCAACCTAATGAGCAACAGATAAAATTTATTTCTTCTATCTGAAACTTTCTACCCATTGATCAATAATTCCACATTGCTTCCCTTCTCCATTGCTCCAGCCTTGGTGATCATCATTCGATTCTCTACTTCTCTGTTTGACTTGTTTTTCTTTTTCCTTTTGGTACTGGGGAGTGATCCCAGGGACACTCTACCACCAAACTACAATCCCAGCCCTTTTTTATTTTTTGAGATGGTGTCTTGCTAAATTGCCCAAGTTGGCCTTGAACTTTTGACTCCTCTACCTCAGGCTCCCAAGTTACTGGGATTACAGTTGTGTGCTACCATGCCAGGCTTTGACTTTTTAAGATTCCACACACATGTGAGATCAACATTTAAAAATAATTTATTAATTTCTTGCATTTCTAAATATGCTTTCAGATCATAAAAGTAAAGTATACTCCTTATAGAATTTTTTAAAACATAGTAAAGTATAAAGAGGGAGAAATCATTCCAAACAGCCACTAGTTTTTCCTATGCATATTTATATATATACTTGAGATTACATTTGGTATATTTTTACAATTCATTTGCAGCATAAGTGTTTTCCACATTATGAAAATACTACTTTGCCAGCTATTCATCTGATAGAAGATTAATATTCAGAATATAAGAAGAACTAAAAAAAATCTAAGAACAAGTAATCTAATCAATAAATGGGCAAAAGATCTGAATGGACACTTCTCAAAAGAAGTACAAACAGCCAATTAGTATATGAAAAAATATTCAACATCAAGGAAATGCAAATAAAAAATTCCCAAACTACCCCATTCAGAATAGTCAATATTAAAAAATGCAAAATAACAAATGCTGAGGAAGATGTGGAAAAAAGGAACTGGTGGTAGAAATGTAAATTACTACAGTCACTAGGGAAAACAGCATGGAAGTTCCTTTAAAAGTCTAAAAACAGATCTACTGTATAATCCAGCTGTACCACTCTTGGGTATATATCCAAAGAAAAAAAGTCAACATACAAAAGACAGATATACCTATCCATGTTTACTACAGCACCATTTACAACAGCCAAGTTATGTAATCAGCCTAGGTGCTTGTCAACAGATAAACCAATAACAAAAATATAGTATATATACACAGTAGAGTATATGTCCACATTCCATAAAGAAGTGTTTATTACTTCAGCCATGAAGAAGAATGAAATATCCAGGCACCATGGTGCATGCCTGTAATCCCAGTGACTGGGGAGGCTGAGACAGGAGGATCATGAATTCAAAGCCAGCCTCAGCAGAAGTGAGGTGCTAAGCAACTCAGTGAGACCATGTCTCCAAATAAAATACAAAATAGGGCTGGGGATGTGGCTCAGTGGTCGAGTGCCCCTGAGTTCAATCCCTGGTATCTCCCCAAAAAAGAATGAAATCATGTCATCTGTAAAAAAAAAAAAAAAAAAAAAAAAAAAGATGTATCAGAGGTCATCATGTTAAGCAAAATATGCCAGACATTGCAAGACTAGTATTTTCTCTCATATGTGGAAACTCAAACAAACAAACATACAAAACAAACAAAGGATGACCTGAAACTAGAAGAGGGACTATTAGGGAAGGAAAAATGCACCAGGAGAAAGGGGGAGAGAGAGAATGGCAAAGGAAGGTAATAGGGAGGATGAATATAATTATGGCACAATATATGAATGTATGGCCATGTCACGGTCAAAACCATTATTTTGTACAATGAACATGCATTAATAATTATAATTTTAAAAAAGAAGGCAAGAGAAGGCTGACAAAGTTGTTTAGGCTATCAAATCCTTAAGACAGATACTTAAACTAGATTATATTATTTCAATATTTCTGGTCAATAGCCAAACTTATAATTAATCTTATTATCCTCATAAATAATATAACTGGGTGAGCTGGGCCTGGTGGTACACACATCTGTAATTCCAACAACACTGGAGGCTGAGGCAGGAGGATTGAAAGTTTGAGGCCAACCTTAGCAACTTAGTGAAGCCCCAAGCAAACTTAGTGAGACCCTTCTCAAAATAAAAAATAATAATAATAAAATAAAAAGAGCTGGGGATGTATCTCAGTGGTAAAATGTCCCTGGTTTCAATTGCCAATGCCTAAAGAAAAAAAAATAATAACAAATAACACAACTGAGTGATAGATGAAAACTGTGTCAGAATTATGAATTTATTTTTCCATATAGGCTATATCTCCTGACAAAGTGATACTTGCCAGTTTTAAGGCAAAATGGCTGGCCAATTCATACTTTTTTATGTAAACTTAAATTCAAAATACCACTCATGCCAAGTAAATGACTTAAGTTTCATTTCCTATTTCATCTCTTGCTAAATTAAAAATTCCTTGAGGTCAGGGTTGTGTTTTTACTAATATCTAGAGTACATAGCAGGGTATATAGTAGGCTTGTTGTTGAGCTAACAATTATGTGTTTTCGTTTTGAGTTGTTTTGTAAGCATTATTTTCCTGAAGTAGAATTATTTGGTCAATGGGTATGATCAATTTTTGAGATATAATGCTAAATTGTTTTTAATGCATGTCATACCAATATAACTACCAGGAGGGTATTTGAGGGCTGAGGTTGTGGCTCAGTGATAGAGCACTTTCATAGCACATGTGAGGCACTGGGTTTGATCCTCAGCACCAAATAAAAATAAATAAGTAAAATAAAGGAAGGTACTTGACAATACCTTCCTTTGTACAAAAAAAAAGTGTCTTGATTTTTCCCTGATTTGATAAAAAAGGTTTATCTGTTGCATTTACTTGCATTAAATTGTGAGCAAGATTGAATATAATTCAATTATAGGCAGGACTGATCTCGTCTTAGGGCTAAAAGGCAGTTTCAAAGATGCTTCCCTAAAGAAATAATACTCAAAACAAAAGTAAGGGTAAGTGGAAGTAGACCAGGCACAAAATACTCATTAATAACAAAGGGGAAAATAGCAAATTCATAGCAGAGGTTTCTGGCAAAAGCCAACTTAATTAAGTGATTAAAGATAACCTTAACAGTAATGGGACAAACTTACATTATGCACTCCCTGATGATACAGAATCACCTCTGTGGTATTCTTGCCAAAAACATAACTTGAATCTAATCATAAGGGAATAGCACACCAAATCAAATTAAGGGACATTCTATAAATAACTGATCTGAGGCTGGGTAATCAAGTGAGGGGAAGCTCAGTGGTACAGTACGTGCTTAGCATGTTTAAGATCCTGGATTCTATTCCCAGGATCAAACTAGGCCAAACAAAACAAACAAAAAAATGAGCCTGTATTCTTCAAAACTGCCAGGGTCATGAAAGATAAGACTGAAGTAGTGTTCCAGATTGAAGGAGCCTAAAGAGACATTATAACTAAATGTAATATGTTATTCTAGATTGGATCCTATATCACAAAGATTTTTTTTGCCATAAATGCCATTATTGGGACAATGAACAAAATTTGGATGAGATATGAGAATTGGATGGTAGGATAACGCCAGTGTTCATTTCCTGATTTTAATGATTGTATTATAGTTATGGAAGAGTCTTTGAGGAAATTCACAATGAAGTAGTTGAGGAGTAGTGGGGCTTCATTTCTGTAGTGTACTCTCAACTGGCTCAGAAAAAAAAATTGTGTGTGTGTGTGTGTGTGTGAATGTGCGCTTAAACAGCTAGAGAAAAATGTAAAGTAAATGTCACCAAGTGAGAAACTTAGATGAAAAATGTATGAGAATTATTTGTACCATTCTTACAATGTTCTCCAGTCTGAAATGATTTCAAAATAGAAAAAAAAAATAGTTTCAGTGGTTAAAACTTTTGGGGTCAAATATACAAAAATAAAAGTTTGAAGAAAATGATCATATATGGCATATAATGTCATATACCTTTCATATATTGATGAGAAAAAGGAAACTAGTAAAGAAATTTTGGAGGGCAATTTTAAAGTATATATCCCTTAACTCAGTGTTTCCACTTTAAAAAAAAATATATTCTATAAAAAATATTTGTGCAAGTTCATCAAGATGTATGTACAAGAATACTAATTAAACATTATTTGAAATAGTAAAAAAATGAACATAATTTCATTAATAGAGTGTTATTAAATGCTATACAACAACTGAAAAGACCAAATTAATCTTAAAAGAAATGACACAGTAGCATGTTTAGTTATGCTCTTCAGTGACACGAGATTTACTGAATGAAAAAATCAGGTTACAAAGAAGTAGGTGTAGTATGACCTCATTTTAAAATATAAATTTAATATCCGTACTATTTTTTCATTTTAAAATACATTAAAAAGAAAGAGCTTACCCAGTAAATATTTATAAATACAAAGTTCCACATATATTTATTAACTCTACTGCATCAATTATATAATTCAAATTTTCTATGATCTGTTTTAGTTTATTGCATGAATCATAGCCTGACAATATTTTTTGTTCAATTACTACCTTATAACTATTTCTGTTAGCCTTATATATATAATATATTTACTGTGTACTAATTGAAACTACATTTCAGATTAGACTTTCTTATTATAGGTTGTGCCTCTTAAAAGTCTATCATGGCTGGGCATGGTGGTGCATGCCTATAATCCAGCAGCTGTAGAGGCTGAGGTAGGAGGATCACGAGTTCAAAGCCAGCCTTAGCAATTTAGCAAGGCACTTAGCAATTCAGTGAGACCCTGTCTCCAAGTAAAATATAAAAAAAAGGCTGGGGGTGTAGCTCAGTGATTAAGCACCCCTGAGTTCAATCCTTAAAGTTTATCATGATCCTCTTTGTGTTCTTTATCCAATGTAATATTTTTGCTTTGAAATCTATTTCATTTGATATTCATATAGAGTCACCCCTGCTCTTTTTTCTTTCTTTCCTTCTTTTTTTTTTTTTTTGGTGCTGGTGATTGAGCCAAATGGTGCTTTTTTCAACTATTCTATATCCCCAGCTTGTTTTTTTTTTTTTTTTTTTTGAGATGGGGTTCTCACTAAGTTGCTTATGATCTTGATAAATTGCTGAGGCTGGCCTCAAAGTTGTTATCCTCCTGCCTGAGCCTCCTGAGTCATTGGGATTACAGGCATGCACCATTATGCCCAGCTCCACTAATATTTTTCATGTATTTCAGACTTTGCTTATCCTTTTGTCTTTAATCTTCTGTATCATCTTTGTTATTTAGCCAATATAGATTGAATTTCTTTTTTAAAATCAATCTGTTGGGGCTGGGGTTATGGCTCAGGGATAGAGCACTTAACTAGTATGTGTCAAGCACTGGGTTCGATCCTCAGGATGGCATTAAAAATAAATAAATAAATAAATAAATAAATAAATAAAGGTACTGTGTCCATCTACAACTAATACATACATATATATATATATATATATATATATAAATTTGAAAAATCAATCTGTGTCTTTGCCTTTTAGTAGAAAAATCATATTATACATATTTATCATGATGGATATATTAAATCCTATTTCTGCTATACTATTTTGTGCAGTCTTGCTGTTTTCAGAGAAAATAAAAGCTGATAGGATGAAAAGACAGAGCTAAGCAGAAAGTGGTGGTGGTGATGATGATGATGATGATATGGGGGACAGAGGAGAGTAAGGGAATGGAGGATTGAGAGATGGTTCTCTGATATCAAGCTTGGTCAACTGCTCCATGGAAGAACAAAAAGTTTCCTTTGTTTTTGTAATGGTAGAGATAATGGGTTTAAAGTACTTTGAAATCCTTGTGAGACATTTAAGTAGAGGCATACCAGAAAAGCAGTTGGTTATCAAATCTGGAGCTTGTAAAAGTTTTTATCTACATACCCATAGTTCCATGGGAGAATCTGAATTTTGTCTGTGGTTTAAAAGAATAATTAATCTGATGATGGTCCACGTGCTCATTAAGTTTTTTCTATGGCAAAGGTACACCAGACTTCCTTACCCCATACTTTGTATAAACAAGAAAGCAAAATTACCTTTGCCATTCCAACTGAACTGGCATTCAGTTCTGAGATCCCTTGGTTGGTCTTGTCTCCACGTTCCCATATCCCGAAGTCCTGGCATAACAATAACCAATACACCATTAGCAAGTCATAACTACTAAATACTAACTAGATGCACAATCCTTAAGTAAAAAAAATTGATAGTAACTAATCTGCCATACATATATATAACCACAATGCCAATGAGTTGGTGGCTCTGGTAGCTACTTTCCCTATAGCTTTAAATTCTACTGAAGCCTACAAAAAGTTGGAAGACTTCATAACAGTTAATCAGAAGGGCTAAGAACTATAACTCAGTCCATCTGCAGACAGGCTTCTCAAAGATTTTCACCACAGCAGGTACCCAGAGGATCTAGGAGTTGGAGCCCAGTACTTTATCTTAAATATCCAATTTAATTTTACCCTCTTTGGGCACTGATAACGTACCACACACTAACTGATGCATGTTATATATTGTTCTTCCTTAATCCTTACATTTTATAGATGATGAAACTGAGATGAAAAGAGAGATTAAGTGACTCACTCTAGTTCACAGAGCTAATAAGTGACACAACCAGGATTAATGTTTAAGTCGTCTTACTCAAAGCCTATTCTTAATAATAGTTCTATATATGTCCCCTTGATAATATAAATAATATTCAAAATCACCTTTTAAACTCTTGCTTTGAAATAACTTCAGACTGATAGAAGTTGCAAAAATAGTACAGTGAGTTCCCATATGACTTTAATTTGTCTTTTTCCAATTTTAATATCTAACATAAATATAGTACAATTGTTAAAGTCAAGAAATTAACATCAGTACAACACTATTAACCAAATTGTGTATTTTATTTGGATTTCATTAGTTTCTCACTAATAGCCTTTCTGACATTCCGTAATCTAATCCAGAATTCCATGTCACATTTGTAATGTCTCCTCAGTTTCTTCCAATCAATGATTCCTCTAGTCTTGTCTTTCATGACCTTGACACTTTTTGAAGATTAGTGATCATATATTTTATAGATTTTCCAAATTTGGATTTTCATGATGTTTCCTCATAACTAGATTGAGGTTATGCATTTTTGGCAGGAATATGTATTGCAGCTATTATGCTGTGTCCTTCTCAGTACATTATATCAGAGGTATAAGATGCTGGATATATTATTACTGGTGAATGTTAACCTTCACTTTGTTAAGGTACTATCTGCTGAGTTTCTGCATTCTTCTGTTACTATTTTCCCTTTTGTAATTAATACATATCTTGAGAAACACACTTTTAGAACATGCAAAGATCCTATTTCTCCTCAAACATCCACCCACTAATTCAGTATCCATTGGTGGATCTTGCCTACAACAACTATTACAGTGATGTTTTAGTGGAGATTTTCTAGTTTCTTCATTACTTCTATAGTCATTAATTGCATTTCCCTACTGAAGAGCTGTCCCTTCTCTCTCATTTATTTATTTAGTCAGTTTTTTATATTGGTATGAGTTTCAGGATAGTTAGGTTTTTCCTTAACTTAAAATTCTATTACTATTTTGTTATCCAGATTGTTAACTGTTCAAGGTTAGGTCATCAGGTGTTTTTTCAGGTTGACTCCTGTGTTTTTTTTTCATTTTACTTATTAATGATTTTTTCCTGTGCCTTTTTGATATGCCCTATTCTTTTTTTGAACACTTCTTTACTTTTTGGCATTATAAGGTGCTCATCTTGTATTTTAATTAATCCCAGCCCTGGAATCAATTTCTCTACAAAGGAGCCCTTGTTTATTTTATTAGAAAATTATAGAATCCAAGGCCTGGGCACTGGGTGTATTCATTGTCACAGGGATGTCATGACAGAACTTAGAATAAGACATATACACACATGTATGTGCTTGTACATGCATACATACATGCTCACGCATGCTCCCCCACATCTCTACTTATTTCTATATTCACCTTTAATTGCTTTTATTTCTTCCTTCTTTTCTGGTATTGGGGAATGAACCCAGGGACTCTTTACCACTGAGCCACATCTCCAGCCTTTTTTTTTCCAATTTTGAACAGGGTCTCATTAAATTGCTGGGGCCTTGCTAAGTTGCTGAGGCTGGCCTCAAACATGTGGTCTTCTTGTCTCAGCCTCCCAAGTCATGGGGATTAAAGGTGTGCATCACTGCACCTGGCCTTTTTCTAATGTCAAATCTCTGAGTTAAAGTGATGTTTCGGGAATGTAAGTTCTATTTTACCCATGGCTTGCTAACCTGCCCCCAAACTCAGATCTGCCCTAGTTTGTATAGCAAAGATTAAAATATAAGAAGACACAAATATCATTAAGTCTACCATTACAACTAAACCCCTGGATGCAACAGAGAGGTCAAAGAATCCTGACTTCTACCACAGCAAGCCTGTGGTCTCAGAAGGCATAGTGATCAATTGACAAATAATGTCTACTTCCATTAAAAAAGTCTAACATTTAGACTTGTGTTTCTGGAAAATATGGAGAAAGGGATTCCAGATTCACCCTCCTGCCAGAAACAACTTTTTAAAAAACTGTACAATTTATCATACAGTGGTTTTCCCTTCCTTCCTTCCTTTTTTCCCTTTTCTTTCTTTCTTCTTCTTTTTTTTTTTTTTTTTTTTGTGGTTCTAGGAACTGAACCTAGGAGCTCATTCATGCAGTGCAAACATTCTAGCACTGAGCCATATTCCAAGCCCAAGATAGTGATTTTCAATATAATGAAGTTTCTGCAATGAAGGGCTGTGATTCCTGAGAGGTAGCAACACCACAGGACAAGTCCTATGATTGCTCCAGACTACTGTTTGTAAGCATTCCCTGACTATAGTACAGAAAGGCCAAATAATAAAAAACAAGCAGAGTTTGGCAGATTCCTAAGTTGAGTAAATGGAGCTCAGAGTACAAAGAGACCAAGGTACATATAATTTTCAGGACAGTACTGGAAGAGAGAGAGAGAGAGAGAGAGAGAGAGAGAGAGAGAGAGAGAGAGAGAGAATGAACCTCAGAATTCTGCAGAGGTCCCTCCTCTCTAATATTCATCAGAAAAATGGCCGATGTATGTATGCAAGAAAACCACTTGAGGCTGGGGGAAGAATAGCCCAAAAGAATTAAGAGGGAAAAATACCTGGTGCTCAAACAGGACCAGAAATGGTGCTTGTTCCAACCATTTTGTGGAGGTAATGGCTAGAATATTCAAGGGTCTAGGTTAAGTAGTGAGGAATAATTAGCCTTAGACTAAACATGATTCTTGACCCACATAACACCTTTAAAGAAATAAAGGATCAAGGCTAGGGTTGTGGCTCAGTGGTAGAATGTGAGCCTAGTATGCATGAGGCACTGGGTTTGATCCTCAGCACCACATAAAAATAAAATAAATGTATTGTGTCCACCTACAACTAAAATTTTATAAAAAAGAAATAAAGGATCAAACTATTTCCAACTAACTTAAGTGGATCTTAGAACAAAGATCAAGAGTATGTATGGAAGAACAAAAACATTCAGGATGCAGCAAGGTAAGATATATGATATCTGGCATCCAGTAAAAAATTATTAGGCAAGCAAAGAAGCAGGAAAATACAACCAATTAATGAGAGAAATGTCATCAATTGAAAACAACCTGGAACTGACAGACTTTAGAATTCTTAGACAAAGACATTAAAATATTTAGTACAATCGTATTCCATGAGTTTAAAGAGTTAAGTGGACATGTGGAAGATACAAAAAGGACCAAAATGAACTTCTAGAAATGAAACATTTTTTTTTAGTACCAGGGATTTAACCCACAGGCACTTAAACACTGAGCCACATTCCCAATCCTGTTTTAAAATTTTTTAAGTTATCAATGGATCTTTTGTTTTATTTATTTATCTGTGGTGTTAAGGATCAAACCCAGGGCCTCATACAGGCCAGGCAAGTGCTCTACCACTGAGCCACAACTCCAGCCCTCCCCAGCCTTTTTTTAATATTTTACTTAGAGACAGGGTCTCGCAGAGTTGCTTAGGGCCTTGCTATGTTGCTGAGGCTGGCTCTGAACTCCCAATCCTCCTGCCTCAGCCTCCCCAGCTGTTGGGGTTATGGGCATGCACCACTGTGCCTGGCTAGAAATGAAACTTTTTAAGATGAAAAATACACTGGATAGAATTCATGACAAATTAGACATTGTGAATGAAAAGATTAGTGAAGTTGAGACACAGCAATAGAAACTATCCAAAATGAGAAACAGAAAGCAAAAAAATAATTTAAAAAATAAACAGTGTATCAGTGAGCTGTGGATCAACATCATGTGGTCCAATACATATGTAACTGGAGTCCCTATAAATAGGGGGCAAAATAAAGAGTATACAAAGAAGTATTTGCTGAAAATTTTTGGTGAAAATTATATATCCACAGATTCATGAAGGTAAACTAAGCACAAGAAACATGAAGAAAACTCAAGGAAGGAACACTATAATCAGAATGCTTAATGTCAGTAATAAGAAGGAACTCTATTTTTTAGATCTTTTTTACCGGATCATTATAATTATACATTATTATCTATTCATACATGAAGAAGAAACTCTTAAAAAGCAGCAGAGGTATAGGAAGGCTCATTATGTAGTGAGCACAAAAGACAAGGATAACAAACTCCTCATGAGAAACAATACAAATAAGAAGATAAAGAAGCAATTTTTTTTCAGTGCTGAAAGACAAAAACACTGTCAACAGAAAATTCTATATCTAGTAACAATATCTGTGAAAAGTAAAGGTAAAATTAAAGGCATATAAAAGCTGAAATAATTCATCACCATCAGACCCAAGAAATGTTAAAGGAAATTCTTTAGGCAAAAGGAATGGTACCAGTTTGAAATTTGAATGTACACGAAGGAATAAAGAGCACCAGAAATTATAAACACTTTCATTTTTAATTAAATTTCTTAGAAGGATAATGGAACAGTTAACAAAAATTTTTAAAAATGATGTGGTGGCTGAGGGTGTAACTCAGTGGCAGAGCACTTGCCTAGCATGTATGAGGCCCTGGGTTCTATCCCCAGCTCCACTAAAGAAAAAAATGTGTTGGCCACAAAGGAGGAGGGTGGTTAGTAAGAAACTGAAAGAGCAAAGGAGAGGTCAGAAAATGACTGGCAGTGTCTTTAGCATAGTCCTACAGCAATTACACTTATGCATTCTTCAAATACTAATAACTTTATATATCATTTTTGAGGTATAATTGCTATACAAAAAAGCTACACACTTAAAATGTAAAATTTGGTTTTATCCTACATTTAAATGACTGCAACTGTCATCATAAAAATGATCATTTGCAAAATCCCCAGTCTCTTTAAATTTTTTTTGTTATTGTTGTAGATGCACACAATGACCTTAATTTATTCATTTTTTTATGTGGTGCTGAAGATTGAACCCAGTGCCTCACACGTGCTAGGCAAGTGCTCTACCACTGGGCCACAAGCCCATCCCTCTCCCAGGCTCTTCATACCCACTGTAATTCATCTCTCCCTCTGCCCTTGCTTTCTATAACTATACATATCTGCTTTCTATCACTATATATTTCCAGAATTTTGCATTAGTGTAATCATAGAGTATATAAATTTGTGTCTAACTTCTTTCACTAAGCATAATTTTATTAAGATTCATTCATATTGTTCATGAATGTCATAGTTCATTCCTTTTTATTGCTGAACAATATTCCATTTTATTGGTAGACTGCAATTTGTTTACCTATTTATCTGTTGATGGTCATTTACATTATTTCCAGTTTGGGAGATTATAAATAAAGCTTCAATAAACAACAACAAGAACAACAAACTGTTTATGTTAGAACAAAGGAGGGAAAAACCCCACATTCCTGTATAGTGTCTAATGTAACATTTTATACAGAGAGTATGTTATATATAATGAATTAATATGAAGTTACCTCATATGGTAGGTGTAAGGAAAAAAACCTTTTTGTATGCTAAATTAATACCTACAGATAACATTAAACACATGAGCAAATTTTATTTCTACATAGCTAACTGGTTCATAATTCTCCCTAGACATCTTGCTCCCATTTATGACTTTAAACCATTAAAATAAGATCATAATTTAGCCCCAGATTTACCAACACATGCTATAAGATATCAGAAAGTTTGAGATTATAGTATCTGGACCCTCTGGAAAGAGACTGAATACAATTTCTGCCAGAAGTCTTTTTAGATTAGTTCACTATGAGGGACAGCATTAAGAGAAGGGATGGATTGTCTAGTATTTTAAAAACAAAACCATCATGTGTTTAAAACCCACTCAAAAATGAGCTACTTACAGCAGTTTTATATGCAGCTTCAATGTAAAACACAAGGTTCTGTATGAAATTGACTTCATCTAGGCTGTGGATGATATGAAGTCCTAAGAAAAAAGAGAAAAATGATATATAGCTAGTCAATTTGCACTACAAGTTTGATAGGCGGCCATACAGGTGAAGTGCTCACTGCTCCCAGGTAATCCATTGTGGCTTAGGAAAAAATAGAAGGCATTTTGATTTGTAACCATAAAAAAAGAAAAGATCATAAATCAATCCTAGGCTAGTCTCCAATTAAGTGAGATGTGAGTATATTTTAACAGGAAACAGGAAACATTTTAACTATTATTTATAGGTTTTTATAGAAACTCTGATTCCTGATACATTAGGTATCTAATTTATAATGTACTTAAATATACAAAATGATAGAGACAATTATTTCAAAACAGAGTGTGAAGGAGTCTAAACACTAAGCAAAACATAAAGTGGATAAAATGATGATATTAAGAACTTCAAGCTGTATTTTGAGTAAAAATTACAGTTATTCTAAATGTAAGATACTCAAAGACAATTATAGATTACATATGGAATGTTTGCATGAATAATTTTTATAACAACCTTAACAGATGGGTACCTCTATTTTCTCCATTAAATTTAGAGTGATTAACTATTTCACATAACTAATAAATAGTGGAACAATGACTCAGTTGACTGTAGACTTCTGTTTCACTTTAGAGATTGAATTCCTAATCCAGATGCTATATTACCTCCTAATATGAAAAATATGATCCATTTTTTTTCTGTCTAAAAAATCTTTTTCTCCCCCATTTCACCACCAAAACAGAACTAAAACTAAAAAAAAAAACTAGAAAGATGTTTATAGTCATTTTCTTTGGTGTCAAGATTCAAAGTAGCCTTATTTTCTTCTTGTTTGGACATCTTTATAATTTTATAGTATTCTATAATAAATAGGTACTACTTATATAATTTAAAAAGTTGTACATAAAAGCAAAGTCATTAAATAAGATAGAAAATGGGAGGATATATTTCATAAAATTTTATAGAAAACTATCAAATCCTGAGTGCTAAAAATGTTTATATGTATAAAATAAACAATTAAATTTTAAATACATCATTTGTTACAAAAATATTACTGCATGCATATTGTCTAAAGCTCTATTTAGACTAAGAAATTATGTCAGAATTGAAGAATAAGGAAGCTTGCTTTTTCCTTTCTGGTCTTTAAATAAGCAGGAAGAAGATGTGAAAATTGTGTTAATTGTAGATGCTGAATGTTAAAGTTTCTCTTATTTTCCTGATAGAAAAATATTCTATTTCAACAAGGATTTTATATCCACATTTTGTAGCAAAATTGGGTTGGTTCAGTGGAAATGATTATATCTACCAGCTATGTCATGTTATACCAAGTTCAGAATTTGCAGTTTTCTGAGTAATGGGTGTATCTACAGTGAGTAGGTCTAGGGGAAAAATACATTTTTAAAAGTGCTTGGGAGCCAGGCATGGTGGTGCACACCTAAAACCCCAGTGACTTGGGAGGCTGGGGCAGGAGGATCACAAGTTCAAAGCCAGGCTCAGCAACATAGTGAGGCCCTAAACAATTCAGTGAGACCCTGTCTCAAAATAACAAATAAATAAATAAATAAATAAATAAATAAATAAATAAATAAATAGGGCTGGGGATGTGGCTCAGTGGTTAAGTGTCTCTGGGTTCAATTGCTCGTACCAAAAAAACCTAAAAAGGGTGGGGAGAAGGGGGCAGCTTGGGAATGGAAAAGAAAAAAAATCTAACATTCTTAGAAGCATGATGTAAAAAGTTTGTCAAATATTTCATTCTCCTTTCTCTTTTTTTCAGGTACTGGGAACTAAATCAAGAGCATTGTGCATAGTAGGCAAGTGCTATACCATTGAGCTATATGGCCAGCCCTTTAACAAAAAATAAAAGACCAGTAGAGGAGAGGAAGTGCAACAGGGGGAAGGAGGAGGAAAAGGAAAGGGGAAGTACTGGGGACTGAAGTGGAACAAATTATACTCCATGCTTGTACAATTATGTCAAAATGAACCCCAATAGTATGTATAACTATAAAACACTAATAAAACTTTTCCTTTTTTGAGACAGGGTCTAGATGGCATCAAACTTTTTATCTTCTTGCCTCACTCTCAGGAGTAGATGGGATTACAGGGGAAAATCCAAAATGTTTCACCAGAAAACTTCTAGAACTAATAAATGAATTCAGCAATGAAGCAGGATATAAAATCAACACCCATAAATCAAATGCATTTCTGTATATCAGTGACAAATCCTCAGAAAGGGAAATGAGGAAAACTACCCCATCTACAATAGCCTCAATAAAATAAAATAAAATAAAATACTTGGGAATCAATGAAAGAGGTGAAAGATCTATACATTGAAAACTACAGAACCCTAAAGAAAGAAATCAAAGAAGACCGTAGAAGATGGAAAGGTCTACCTTGCTCTTGGATAGGCAGAATTTTTAAAATTTTTTTTTAGTTATACATGAACACAATATCTTTATTTTGTGAATTTATTTTTAATGTGGTGCTGAGGATCAAACCCAGTGACTTACATGTGGGAGGCAAGTGCTCTGCCACTGAGCCACAACCTCAGCCCCAGATAGGCAGAGTTAATGTTATCAAAATGACCATACTACCAAAAACACTATACAGGTTTAATGCAATGCCAATCAAAATCCCGATGGAATTCCTCATAGAAATAGAAAAAGCAGTCATGAAATTCACCTGGAAAAATAAGAGACCCAGAATAGCTACAGCAATAGCAGGAAGAATGAAGCAGGTGGTATCACTAAATTAGACCTTAAACTATATTGCAGAGCAATAGTAAACAAACAAACAAACAAACAAACAAAAAAAAACAGCATGGTATTGGCACCAAAACAGACTGGTAGACCAATGGTACAGAATAGAAGACACAGAGACTAACCTACAAAATTACAATTATCTTATATTAGACAAAGGTGCCAAAAACATATATTGGAGAAAAGATAGCCTCTTCAACAAATGGTGCTGGGAAAACTGGAAATCCATATGCAACAAAATGAAATTAAAACCCTATCTCTCACTATGCACAAAATTCAACTAAAAGTGGATCAAGGACCTAGGAATAAAACCAGAGACCCTGCGTCTAATAGAAGAAAAAGTAGGCCCTTATCTCCATCATTTCGGATTAGGCCCCAACTTCCTTAAAAGGATTCCTACAATGCAAGAATTAAAATTAAGAATCAATAAATGGGATGGACTCAAACTAAAAAAATTCTTCTCAGCAAAAGAAACAATCTGTGAGGTGAATAGAGAGCCTACTTCTTGGAAGCAAATTTTTACCCCTCACACATCAAATAGAGCACTAATCTCCAGGACATATAAAGAACTCAAAAAGCTAAACACCAAAAAAACAAATAACCCAATCAATAAATGGGCCAAGGACCTAAACAGACACCTCTCAGAAAATGATATACAATCAATCAACAAATATTTGAAAAAATGCTCATCATCTCTAGCAATTACAGAAATGCAAATCAAAACTACTGTAAGATTTCATCTCACTCCAGTCAGAATGGCAGCTATTATGAATACAAACAACAATGCATTGGTGAGGACGTGGGGGAAAAGGTGCACTCATACACTGCTGGTGGGACAGCAAATTGGTGCAGCCAATATGGAAAGTAGTTTGGAGATTCCTTGGAAAACTGGGAATGGAACCACCATTTGACCCAGCTATTCCTCTCCTTGGTCTATACCCAAAAGACTTAAAAACAGCATACTACAGAGACATAGCCACATCAATGTTTATAGCAGCACAATTCACAATAGCTAAACTGTGGAACCAACCTAGATGCCCTTCAGTAGATGAACTGATAAAAAAATGTGGTAAATGTACACAATGGAATATTACTCAGCAATAAAAGAGAATAAAATCATGGCATTTGCAGGTAAAAGGATGAAACTGGAGAAGATAATGAAAAGTGAAGTTAGCCAATCCCAAAAAACAAATGCAGAATGTTCCCTCTGATATAAAGAGCCTGATTCATAGTGGGGTAGGGAGGGGGAACAAGGGAGGAATAGATGAACTCTAGATAGGGCAGAGGGGTGAGAGGGAAAAGGAGGGGAAAGGGGGTTAGAAATTATGGTGGAATGAGATGGACATCATTATCCAAAGTACATGTATAAAGACATGAATTAGTATGAATATACTTTGTATACAACTAGAGATATGAAAAATTGTGCTTTATATGTGTAATATGAATTATAATGCATTCTGCTGTCATATGTAAATTTAAAATATAAAATAAAATATTTTTAAAAAGAAAAAACAAAAAATTAAAATGGCAAAAAAAGATTTTGATCTTTGCCCTATTCTAAAAAATACAAAATAGAATATTCCTTTAGTTTAATTTTGCAATTCTTTTATTATGAGTAAGATACTGAATCTTTTAGTATAAGCCATTCATATTTCCTTTCCAAAGAACTGTTTGGGCATATCCTTCATGGAATTCCATTGAATTACTGGTCCTTCTGGTTTATTGATATATACAGCTTAACACAGAACTACAGTTTCTATTCTTATTTGTTTCTGTCACTGATATTTTAATGAATATTAAGGAAATTAATCTTTTTCCCATCATATATATTCCAAGTATCTTCTACTTTGTTTGAATTTTGATTTTTTTTAGGTTGAGTATCACTTTATCTGAAATGCTTTGGACCAGAAGTGTTTCAGATTTCATATTTTGGAATATTTGCACATACATAATGAAATATCTCAGGAAAGGGACACAAGTTTGAACACAATATTCACTTGTTTCATATATGCCTTTCACATTTGTTTCATGTACCTTATATACAGAGCCTGAAGGTAATTTTATACAATATTTAGCAGCCTACATTTTGCTTGCCACCTATTTGTCACAAGAGGTTAAGTATGAACACACTCAAAAAGTTCTGGATTTTGGAGCATATTAGATTTTGAATTTTTCGTATTAGAAATGCTCACCCTGTAGTATATTTTCCTTCTCAGAAAATTTTATAAAATAATTTTATCCTATGAATATTT